GTTAAAAACCTTGTCTTTCCTTAAGCTTTTAGGGTCTACTAGCAATTTATAAATCTATCAAATTTAAACATTGCTTTAAAGGGAAATTTGGCTTCTGTTTGATCCTGTTTACAAACTAATAAAAATTTAAAATAGTTTAAGCTGCATTTACAAATGTGATGTATTTGATATCCTCTTAAAGTGACTGAGTTGTTCGCCATAACAAAACTTTCCTGAGTTCTTATATAGCTTTTATAACTAATAAACATGCAAATATGAACTTTAAGCTCATCATATTTGCATGTGTATTAGTCTTTAATGTTTCAATATATAACAAGTGTTTCAGTACACATTTCTACAAATGTAGAAAAATTCCAATTTAAAAGGAAAAGTATAACGTATACATTTTAAATTGGAATTACAAACCTGGCCTTAACTCTAGTAGGCCAAATTCTTTCAAAGGCGATGTCTTTAAAACCCGAGTATTTACAGATTCCTTAATACAAACTATTAACGTATATACTAAATTGTAAGTCTTCCAGAGATTGCATCCAGAAACTTTTTGTCCATATGATTGCCAAGAAAACAACACCTCCAGTCTTTAAAAGATACTCACACATAGGAAACCATTACATCATTATATAAATCAGGGGAATTCCTTCTTAGTTGACCAGTGACACTGGCCAGGGAGGTGGCAGTATCCTTGTCTGTGACCCCAACTGGTACACACTGAACCCGAGTTATACTTTACAACAGAGACTGAACCCGATGAAGGCATTGGTCACATAGCTCATGTCCCTGGGTTTGAGTCATATTATGACCTCAGCTTTTCCATCCACGTAGAAGTTGGCAACCCCTAGCCACACTGCTGTTCCACATAATTAGATTTAACAGCTATTTGATCCTTAAGATATTTCAATATACTTTCCCAGGACCTCCAAAGAACACTGAGCTTGATAAAGTTCTGCCTTCTTTTTGTATTCTGTCTGCCTGATGAGGCCACGTAATCCTTACAGATATTAAAATGATACCAGTTGCTCACCCATGGTTTTGTCTGACTACATGATTGGAAGTCATGCCCAATTATTTCTTCATTCCTATAACTAAGGTCAGCTATTATGTGGCAAGGACAGAAAGTCAGGGCAAGGAGCCCCTGGCCAGACTCCTCTCCCTTGCTGCCCCACTGTGTGTCTGCAATGGCCACATCAGATGTTTATACTCTATTCCTCCAGACCTAACTGATATTCTGAAAAGATGTGTCAATTTGCCCCTCTGCAAGCATTCGTCGGTTGGTGCTGTTTCAGGGAACAGAGATGCATCTCTGCAAAAAGGGGAACAAGGCCACATCCAGCTACATGCAGCAGATGTGTGTATATTTGGAAGCTCCCTTTCTGTTTTCTAGTAGAGTCCTTGCAACAGATGGAAAATATTTGCCTTGTCCATGGAGACTTGTGCCGTCAGACCTGTCCCATAAAACTCGCTTCGCACATCATTCTCATGGTTTGCCCTTTGGCTTCTGGGGCAGTCCAGCAAAGCACTTGTGGAAAATACTCTTTCTCTCCTTCTTTTCCCACTTTCCCAAATTTTAGGTTCCTGAAGTATTTACAAGTTCTATAATTTTTTTTTTTTAAAAAACAGACTTTATGGATTTCTCTTCTGAATTAATTTAAGATTGATGCTTCAAATCCCCAAGAAGCCTGAAATCCATGTAGAAGGTCAATCACTTGGGCTGACACAAAAAACACTCACTTTTACTCTGAGAGGTTTTGGTTGATCTTTCTCTCTTTCTCAGAATAAATATTAAGATCACTCTGCTAGTACATCTTAATATCTGAAATCATGATAGTATGATGAATTTAGAGTTTAGCCCTCAAATGAACTTTGTGGAAATTGGGTGGTGAATTGCTTCAAAGTGCCATGGAGTGATCTTCGGAAGACGGCGAGTTGCAAATGGCTACTCCAGAAGTGATAAAACCATCTGCATACAATATTTGAAGATTTTATGACATTATGGTTCAAAGTCAGGTAGTTTGGACTTCCTGAATGAAGAAACTGAATTTTCTTGCCATCAAGAAATATCTTCATCAGAGCTCTTTTGGTTGTAAGGGAGAGAAATCAATGTAAATGTATTAAGGTAAAGGAGGAGGTTTTATAGTGAAGCGGGATGACCTGCTAGAGAAATAGATGTTTTCTCCTTCCTTTTCACAAAGGGCTGGCAAAAGGCTAGCCCTTCTATTTTGGAGGCCAGATGTATCTATCCTTTGCTCCTAGAGAGAAGAGGATTTTTTTAAAGGTCAATTTTGTAGCGAGAACTTCTATACAATACAATTTATCAATGTAAAAAAATAGTTTGATGAGCTTTGACAAAGACAGTCATGTAATTAACCAGCACCACAATCACGTTACAGAACATTCCCATCCCCCCCACAGTCACTGCTCCTTTGAGGTCAGTCTCCTCCCCCGACTTGGCTCCCTGGAATCTCCGCTTTCCGTCATAGTTTTGCCTTGTGTAGAATTTCATATAAATGGATTCTACAATATGTACGTGTTTGTGTCTGGCTTCTTTCACGTAGCATTATGCTTTTGAGATCCCTCCATTCTCCTGTATATATTGGTAGTGTCTCATTTCTATTGCTGGGTAGTAGTCAATTATGTAGATGTAAAATGATCTCTTCACCAGCTGATAGATATCTGGGTTTTTTTCTAGCTCTGACTAAAGCACCTTCCTTGGTGTGGTCTTACATTTTCATACCTTGAGAGCAAATATCTAGGAGTGGGATTGCTGGGTATGTGCATGTTTAATTGTATATGAAACTTTCAAACTTTCCCAACGGGGCTGCAGCATTTTGCATTCACACCAGCAGTGCAGGAGAGATCCAGTTGTTCTGTATCCTCGCCAACACTTGGTACCATCAGTCTTTAATTTTAGCCATTCAAGTGAACCATTCTAGGGTAGGGGCATCTCAGTGTGGGGTTTTCCCAGGTTTGTTAAAATGTAATTGACATATAACATTATATTAATTTAAGGTGTAATCATTTAATATATATATGTGTTATGAAATAATACCCCAACGATTTAACACCTATCACCTCACATAGTTACAATATTTTTTTGTGATGAGAACTTTTAAGATCTATTCCCTTAGCAACTTTCAAATATCCAGTAGAGTGTTGTTAACCATGTCACCATGCTTTCTGTTATATTCCCAGAATTGTTTATCTTATAATTGGAAGTTTGTACCTTTTGACCACATATGAAGCAGTCAGTTTGGGTCTGAGAGGTTTTGGTTGATCTTTCAAGTTTCTAAAATGTTTATAAGTGAGAAATACTGCTCTTCATATGAACTGAACTTGAAGGTGTTATTATATCATAACTATTTACTTCATGTGTTTAAAAATATATGTGAGTGTGCTTTAGATACATTAAGAAATGAACTGTCCCCAAGCAGAGCAGGAGAACATGTTTATAATTTTGCTGAGAGTGTAGAATAACATTCACTGTATTTGGATGACACCTGTGGGTAGATAAATGATGTCAACCTGGCTTTGCCAGAATATTCTAATTGACTTTGGGATTACAAAACAATAACAATACCAACTACAATAACACCAAAGTCAGTCGACACAGTCCAACTAGAGAAAGAACAGAGGTTTTTAGTTTCAGGGAGAAAGCTGGGAGGAAGTTTCCTCAAGTGTACGTGAGGAAAAGAGGTGGAGATTTTGAACTAATAAGAAAGTGTGTTCAGGCAGCTGAGAGCGTGGAGGGTAAAGAATAAAGAGAAATATACACATAATCAGGAAATTATATGGAAAATAAGACTCCTCCGTCTCAAGTTCACATTTATGACTATTGATTAAGTTTGCCTGAGGCCGCACACTTTAGGGAATTAGGGATGTGGAATAGAGAAAGAAAGAACCTGGATTTAGGGTAAAATTCTGGTTTCACACCTCAGTTCCCCGTGAGTAAAAGAGGAGCGAGAATGCTTCTTCAGCCTCCAATCCCAATTTGTGAAGATCAAATGTAATTATGAAGATCAAATGTACTTTATTCATATTAAGGAAGTTTAATTTTTTTTAAAAATTAAAAAATTTGCTTCTCTTCTAAAGCATTCCTCACTGCTTGAGACAAACTAGTTTCTGTGGCAATGAAGAAAGCCAATCTAGGACTGTTTTTGAAATCACCTTGACAAATAGGGATGGAGTGGAGCGAGGGAAGGATAGAAGGGCTCAGGTTCAAAATCTCAGCTGTCTGTGACTCCCCCATCTCTTTATGGTGAGGGCAGGGTGGGATGCAGGGGCTGGAGAAAGGGCACCTCCAGGGCCTTCCACAGGACAGGATAAAACAAAAACAAAAACAAACAAAAAACAAAACAAAACAAACCTCCCCCCGCCCCGCCCCCAACCAACCAAATCTGGAACTGTCCTTTCCTGCTCCTTAGGCAAAATCTTGCTGTATTGATCTGGAAAGCATAGGCTTGGGGGTGCACGTTGACCCCGGAGACCATGGAAGTGTTGAAAAGGCGGGGGAGAATGAGAAATACGATACACGTGCTTGAATTCCGGCTTTCAAGGGTGGAAAAGAATGAAGTGGAGTTTAAAGACGTTGTGTTTCGGGGTATGTGAGGCTTGGATGCCCAAAGCTTCAGAAAAAATAACTGGTTGAGTAATCAGCCTTCTCTTGGGTTGCGAAATCTGCCCCTGTGCTTCGGGAAATCCCACGAGGGAGCTTCTAGCATCTCGGTTCCTTTTCCTGCGCGCGGACCCCCAGCCAGCCCTCAGCGCCCTCCTCCGGCCCGAGCCCGCACCAGCTGGGGGTCGGAGCAGGACCCGCCCCTGCTGGCTAGGGCCGCGGTCACGGTCACCTGACGGAGCCTGCCGGGAAGTACGGCCGCGGCGGCCCCGGGCGCAGCCTCCGGGCACTGGTGCCGAGGCTGGCACTCCTCCCGCGCGGGGCGGGACTGGCGGCTCCGTGTCCCCGGGAGCAGGGGACGCCCCATCGCGCGCACCCTGCCCTCACTCTCTTCCTGGGGCCGGCGGGGACGGTCCGGAGGCAGCTGGAGGCGGCTCCGCGTCCCCCTGGTACGTCTGGCCTGGCCTTTCTCGCGGGCGCCGGGCAGGGGCGGAGGGCAGACGCGGCCCCTAGACGGGCCCTGGGGAAGCGGGTCCCCTGCTTCTCCCTCGGCGGCACCCGGGTCCAGGGCGAGGCGGGCGCGGGGGGCGGGGCGCACAGAGCCCCCGAGGACCTCGACGGTCCTCGGCCCCAGTCCGCGCCGTCCCGCGCGGGAAAGTGAACACGCGAAGACCCGGCGGAGGTCGGCCCTCGGGAGAAGCAGGGGCCACTCCAAAGGGACCGAGGCACAGAAGAGGTTCGGGCCGAGCGCCCTTCCAGTCATGGAGGTCCCTGGGGGCGGCCGCGGGCTGTCGCGTCCCCCGGGAGGCTCAGGTGGGCGGTCACCCCGACCACTGCTGGGACTTCCCGGTACCCCAAAGGCGCTCTCCCGTCAGCGGCTTCTGTGTGCCCTCGCCGCTGCCTCGGCGCGTTTACTCTGAGCGGGTGGGTGATGCGAGGCAGGGAAAAACTTTGGAGGTTGCACCTGTGCATCCTGCTGGGGCTGTGTCTGCGCGTGCTGGTTACCGCTGGGGCCAGACTTCTCGGGGGTGGATTTACGGGGACTCAAAAGTAGGGAAGGTTCAGGATTCTCACTCCCTAACTCGAGCCTGGCCTCTGCTTCGGGGTGGTCTTCAAGCTCTCCTTCCCCAGCGCCCCCTCCATTCCTTTAATCCTTACAATGTCCGAGTTATGTCAGATAGGATGATATCTAATCAGTTATGATTAGCACATAACATAGAGCATTAAGTAGAGATGAGTTTTTAAAATAAGAATGCTCTGACGTTCTCCTTTTAACTTCTTCAACTTCTGCAAATGAGAACGTGTGTTTGGAACTTAGGTGCAAACCAGGATAGTGTTTTGTTTTGTTTTTCCTGGGGGGGGGGGGTATAGGGGGTAGGGGATTCAAATCTGAAATGATGCAAATCTTACAAAAGGTCTTATCTGCACTTTACTAACTCAGACCTTTACCAGAAAGCAACTGGTAGGTAGGGTGCCCTGACTTGAAAGACACACACACACAAAAAGGAAATGGCAACCATGGTGACTATTTGAAAAAGACTTTACTCACTAATATTTTAAGTTTCTTCCTGTTTTAAGCCCAGAACATTTGCATCTTTAAACTTGTTGTAATGTCAGAATTTGAATTTGACAGTGTGTTTTGGAAGTTTCTATGCTATCAGTTAATTTTTTGCTTTTTTTTTTTTTTTAAAGAATTTGGCTTGGCTAGTTAAATATCTTGTTTTGATTAAGTTGAGTGAGCATGGTTTATTGTATATGGCATCTTGGGTGTGATCTCCTCATAAAGATCTTTTAATAAATATAAGTTGTATTTACTCCTTCCAAATAGTAGGCTTGTTGGTCAAAAATTTTTTCCCTACAGTATCACTTAAAATTCACTTTTTCCTCATATTGAAAAGCCACATCTGAATTTCTGAGTGCATAATTGGCAGGTACGAAATAGGCAGGGGGATGTTAAGAAGAGTATAGGGAATGGAGAAGTCAAAGGACTCACGTGCATGACCCATGGACATGAGCTAAGGGGGGCGGGGAGTGCTGGAGGGAAGTTGGGTACCAAGCGGAGAGGGGCAAAGGTGCAAAAATTGGGACACCTATAATAGTATAATCGAGAAGATATATTTTACAAAGAGATGAAGATGAAGAGTGCATTGTCAAAAAAATAACATTCAAGTTTTCTTCTGGTAGCCTGTTCTTACCAAGTTTATTTTTCATATTGCTAAAGAGCATATGTTTAGGGGTACTTCTTTCAATGAGAGTCTCTAGATAAAAATTCTCCTTTAATTTTTGAATGTCTGAAAATATATATTTTACCTTTGCTCTTGAATGGTCATTTAAATGGGTATCGATGTCTAGTCCAGTGATTTCAGCGGGTGTGCCACAAGAACTTTTCAAACATGCAATACCTGACTATTTAGTCAGGGGCATTAACCTGTTTCTCTTAGATTGTCAAATTAAAAAAAAAAAAAAGACAACAGCCAACACAACAATAGCTGTCTGATGTGAATGAATCAAAATTATACCTATTTTTGGTCCGATCGGCAAAAAAATAATATATTTTTTGGTGTGCTTCAGAATTTTATTAATTAGTTTATGTGTACCATGAAAAGCAAAAGGTTGAAAATGGCTGGTATAAAGTGACAGATACATTTTCTCAGCCCTTTGAAGATATTATTTCATCATTTTTCGGCTAGGTGAGAAATTTCTATTTTCTTTTTCTATGCTTGGGATTCCATATAATTTTGTGATCTGACATTTTTCTTCAATTCTGAAAGGATTTTAGTTACTGTATCTTTTAACATTTGGATCCACACCAGCATATATGGCAGGCCTGGGGTTCTCATTTCCTACAGGAGATTTCTAGTAGGTTGAGACTCTGGGTCAGAGGGCAGAGATTTTTTAGGTCCCTCTTCACGTAGCGTGTCACTTTTTTCTGTACACGGCTTTACGGAGAGCTCACTTGCAGCTCTCTGCTGTGCGCCGGGCCATGAGTGTCCTCTCCGCTCCTGCTTCACCCAGACAGTGCAGCCCCAGGTCTACCGTAGGTATCTGGTTATGGTTTCACTGTGGGTCGCAGGGTTTCAGTTTCCTCCCTCCCCTTGATCAGTAGGTGTCTGCAGCATGGTTCGCCTCTAGTAGAAGGCTTATTTCTCAGACTTCCATACTCTCCTTAGTCTTGGATGAATAATTTCTCGCCACCCTGTCTTCTTTCTGAATTCTTCAAGCAGACGGTTCTCATACTTGGTCCAGATGCCCATCCCTCCCTTAGATGTAACCCCATGCAGTCTAACCTGAGCTGTCACCACCCCCCAGTGCCTTCCGTGGAGTTTTCTGCCCAGTGCTGTAATGTAGTGAGAAAGCAGCTCTGATCTTAAGTGCCAGGTTGTTTACTGTAGTCTTAGCATCATCAGTAATTATTGTTGAAAACTCATCGTGCTATAGGTACTGTATAGTATTTGTATGAAGTAGTCCAAAATCTTTGGACTTATATTATTATAAGTTTTACATTTTAAAGGATAAAAGGCTAGGAAAAAATAGATGTATTGGACCTAAGTCTTAGCCAAAAACTAGTATGTATTTCTTGAGATCTGTGCTATGTGTTACAAAGTGGAAAAAAAATCAAATAATTTTGATTGTCCCATACAGTTATCCTAAGGGGACTTTTTTTCAATAACTGATTAACCAGAATGACAATAGAATAAATATAGTACCAAACAGAAATGATCATATGATCTTAATTATGTTGATTTTGGAGGGAGGTACAATACTAGGCCAATAGTCTTTATGGCTTAGTTTCTATTGTTTACTGTTTCTACTCTCCTCATACTTGATATCTTTCTTCCTTTATTACCTGGCTATTGTTGGTTTGTTTTTTTTTTGTTATGTACTGAACATTCTATTTGAGAAATTGTAGAAAGACATTTGAGGCCTAGGATGATGTTATCTTCTAGAGGAAAACTTCCTTTGCTTCTGCAGATACCCATGAGCACTAGCATCTCAGAAATCATGTTAATCCATTCTTGGAGATTAAGACTGTCTAAGTCATCCAGATAAATCAGAGCTGTGCTGCAATCTCTGTGAGCCTTTTTTTTCTCTAGTTCAGAGTTACTTGTCTCATCCATGACTGTCCCAGACCTTAATCTTTAGCTTCCTGTCCTTCAAGGCTGTCAAAAGTGCTGCAACCTATCAGAGGATGCTTACTGCGTTCAGGGTGTTAAAAGACAAGATTGAAAGTTTTGGCAGAGAATCAGAAACTATAAAAAATAATGTAACAGATGTGAAAAAGAACCAAATACAAATTATAAAGATGAAAGTTGCAATAACCAAAAAATTAAAAGCAGTGGGTGGATTTAATAGTAGCTAAACACAGCTGAAAAAGGAATAACCTAGAAAACATCTCAGAAGAAAATATCTAGATTGCAACTTGAAAAAGACTAAAATATGGAAGGAACAGAAGAGAAAGAGACCTGGAGGATACAGATAAACCAGTGCCTAGATGAAAATGTATTACCTTAAATGGATATATTAGAAATAAAGAATGGCTGAAAATTAATGAACAAATATGCACCTCAGGAAACTAGAATGAGTAAAACCTAGAAAAAGCAGAAGGAAGGAAACAGTACTATGTGAACAGAAATTAATGAAATAGAAAAATAGAGGATCAATAAAATGAGAATTTTGTTTTTTAAAAAATGCCAGTAAAGTGGTAAACCTGTTGCAAGATAATTCAAAAAAGCAGGCACAAATAACTCATCTAAGGACTAATAAAGAGCCATTTACTATAGGTCCTGCAGACATTCAAATAAGAGGATGTTATAAGTAACTGGGTCAATGACTTTGAAAATTTAAAAAAGGGATAAATTTCTTGAGAAATGCAATTTACCAAATCTGACAGAAGAAAAAGAAAATTGGAATAATTGCATAACTGTTAAATAGGTAAATTTAATGTATTTCACAAAAACAAGATAAACAAAAAAACAGTAACAACAAAAACTGCAGGCTCAGAGTGTAGTGGTAGTGATTTCTACCAAAGGGAAGGAAATTTATAGGGCAAATTAACTTTTGAATGTAGGTGCACAAATTCTAAACAAAATATTAGTAAATAAAATCCAGCAGTATATAAAAAGGATGATATATCCAGACTAATGGGGGTTTATTCTAAAAATGCAAACTTGTCTTAACCCTGAAATTGACTAGTGCCGTCACCAGTCTTTATTAACAGGGTAAAGGAGGAAACTCATGTTATTATCTCAATAGATACAGGAGGAAAAAAGGATTTGATAAATTCAACATTCAGTGATCAAGAAAATGAAGTAAAAGTATAAGGATTGGAAAAAAGAAATAGAACCATTATATCTGGGTGACATGGTATAATACATAGAAATTTTTAAAAAATCTACAGACCGTGGAATTACTAAGTTCAGCAAGGTTGCTCAATACAAGGTAAATATATAAAATTTAACTAAATTTATACAATAGATGTATATGTTACATTTAAATACATAATACTGTTTCAAAGCTCAGAAGTATCAAAAGCTTAGGGATATATCTCATGAAATGTGCCCAAGACCTCTATGTAGAAAACCATAAAATATTATTGTGATAAACTAAAGAAGTCTTAAATAAGTGAAAAAGATAGATCATGTTCAAGGATTGGGAGATTTAATATTGTAATGATGTCAACAATCCCTAAATTGATCTACAGATCCACAGCATTGTCGATCAAAATAAATAGGTTTTGCTCTTGAACCTAATAATCTGATCCTGCAATTTAGAAGGATATGCAAAGGGTCCAGACTAACCAAGACTCACTTGAAGAAGCTAAGGAGGAAGGACTTACTCTCCTGGATATTAAGATATATTTAATGTAGTGTGTTACTGGTGCAAGGACAGACAAATAGGCATTGGATCAGAACAGAGAGCAGTGAAGCAGACCCACCCTATGAGGATATGTGGCTGTTGGCGAAGGTAATATTGTTAATTTTTCCCCCCAAAATGATCTTTTTAAAAATGGTGCTGGCTCAATTAGAAAAATAATTAACCCTGTCTTCTTCCTCAAATATGAATTCCAGGTAGATTGTAGGCCTTCAAGTGAAAGACGAAGCAATAAATGGTTTAGAAGATAATGAGTATCTTTGTGATAATGTAAGAAAGATTTTTTAAGCAGGCCACAAAAATCACTATTAAAAACAGAATAGAAAATTTAGGAACATGTGTTTATCAAAGGGTTCCACTAAGAAGGTGACAAGGCAAACCCCAGAGTGGAAGAAGATTTTCTTTTTTTTTTTTTTTTAACACATCTATCTTCCATTTCCAGAGTATATAAAGAGCTCCTTAACTTAATACTTGTAATAATAACAATCCTGTGCCATATAACATTTCAGCCAACAGTGAACCACATATATGATGGTGGTCCCACAGGATTATAATGGAGCTGAAAAATTCCTATCACCTAGTGACGCGTAGCTGTTGTAATGTCACGCAACACGTTACTCACATGTTTGTGGAGATGCCGGTGTAAACACACCTACTCTGCTGCCAGTTGTGTAAAAGCACAGCACATACAACTCTTTATAGTGCATAGTACTTCGTGATGATAATAAACGACTGTGTTCCTGGTTTACGTATTGATTCTTACTATACTCTTTATTGTCATTTTAGAACATACTCTTTCTATTTATATTTAAAAAGTTTGCGGTGAAACAGTATGCTGTGTTATCCCAGCAGCAGCCTCATACATTTCGTGTTTACCCCCTTTCTGGATTACATCATTTTCGCCTGTGCTTGATTTCGTCTTGTGTTGTTTTGTGCAGGAACGTGCTGTACAGACTCGTAATCTAGGAGCAGTGGGCTAGACCATGTGGCCTGGCGGTGTAGCAGGCTTGTGTAAGTGCATTCTGTGATGTTTGCACAATGACAAAATTGCCTAGTGATGGTTATGAAGTTATAGTTTATCTATACCATAAAATGCTGTGATTCAATGGAAAAAATCAGAAATGTATTTATATACTGACATAGATGTCCAGCTATTTTTTGAGATGAGAAATGAAAACCCAGAATAAATATGCACAGTATGACCCCAGTTATCTAAAAAAGGATAGGAGGGGATGCGAAACAGAGACACTGGTGTGGCTATAAAAAAAAAAATCTGGCTGCAACAGCAATTACATTCCCAGACCCAGTATGTATTAATGTTATTCATGTTTTAATTTTCTGTGCCTGTAAATGATACAGCCTAGACCTTTATAATTGTTCAGATTCCATGGGAACCTAGGAAGGTGGGAAATTGATTTTAACCCTAAAAAGTTTTGTTCTTGGAGTTACATTTAAAAAAATTTTGTACAGTTAATTCCGTGATCAAACACAAAGGAGCCCAGACACAAGAATGAGAAGGCTGAACAGCGCCTGAGGAGGACTGGGCCTCGTGCGTGGACAGTGGGCAGTCAGCTGTCTTTCCCCCGTGTTCGTCCGGACAGCCATCCAGAGGCAAGCACTGCTTTCTGTCTTAATTCTCTGCAGGAAGAGAAAGGTCGCGTGGTCTGATTGTCCCTCAGTGCAGCAAACCGCTCTGTTCTGACTGGCATCCTCAGCATCCTTCCTGCCTGCTAGGGGTAGCTGCCAGGCAGGGTTGACAAAGAATGGGACCGTTTTTCTTTTGGTCAAACAGCATGTGTTCCTGGAGCTGCATTCAGTGAATAGTTGTCCCATAGTAGCAGGGGCTTGCCGGTAGGGGACCTCAGGCAGGAAAGAGGCACGCTTAAATATAAGAAGGTTTGAAGTGCAGGACCAGGTGATTGCAAGTTGGTATGGTCAAGTTTAGCCCTTTTCTTAAGTTTCTTGCTTGTTCATTCTTCCATTCATTCATTTACTCAGTCTTTCAACCCATGGAGATTGAGTCCTGCTCTGTACTCCCAGGTGGTATTGTGCTTTGGAGTCATTGCATAGTGACAGTGCATGTCTGTCAGTGCTGCTGAATGTGTCATGTTGTCATCCTTACATTAATTAATATTAAAATTAATTCATTTTTATTCATTCATTCCATTCGCCTCTTGGTTATTTCCTGGGAGCTCTGTTCTGCGTGTGCATGTGTGTGTGCATGTGTGCGTCACACTTTACAAAACGTTTCTCAAGAACTGGAATCACAATATGCTGTCAAACACACTCACTCACTTGAGCCTCTTTTATTTGTAGGTCGAATCACGGGACGATGTCACGTGCTTTGTGGACAGTGTGGGTCTTGGGGGCCATAATCAGCCTGTTCAATGAAGGGGCCCCTGATCAGGCTCCTTCTCTGATTTGTGACCCCACCGGTGCTTGCGACGGCCACTCCAGATTGTTAAACTCCATCCCCTCAGGGCTCACGGCAGCTGTGAAAAGCCTTGACCTGTCCTACAACAAGATCGCCTCTATCAGCAACAGTGACCTGCGGATGTGTGTGAACCTCAAGGCCTTGAGGCTGGGATTCAATGAGATTAACACAATAGAGGAAGAGTCCTTTTTCTCCCTGGGGAGTCTCGAACATTTGGATTTATCCTGCAATCACTTATCTAGTTTATCATCCTCCTGGTTCAGGCCTCTCGCTTCCTTGAAATTTTTAAACTTACTGGGAAATCCTTATAAAACACTTGGGAAAACATCTCTCTTTTCTCATCTCACCAATTTGCGAGTCCTAAAAGTAGGAAATACTTACAACTTCACTGAAATTCAGAAAAAGGATTTTGCTGGGCTAACTTTTCTTGAGGAACTTGAGATCGATGCTTCCAACCTCCAGAGGTATGGACCACAGAGTCTGAAGTCTATTCAGAACGTCAGTCATCTGGCCCTTCGTATCAAGCAGCCTGTTTTCCTGCTGGAGATTTTTGTAGACCTTTTAAGTTCCTTGGAACATTTGGAACTAGTAGATACTCACTTGAATGCTTTCCATTTTTCAAAAGTATCCATCAATGAAACCAAAGCATTAATTAAAAAGTTTACATTTAGAAATGTGGAAATCAGTGATGAAAGTTTTAGTGAAGTTGTGAAACTGTTGTGTTATGTTTCTGGAATGTTAGATGTGGAGTTTGATAACTGTACCTACAAAGGAATTGGTGATTTTGATATATCTATTTTGGGCACAGTTAAAAGTCTAAGTAACATAGAGACATTAACAATACGGAGGTTATATATTCCATATTTTTACTTATTTTATGATCTGAGAAATATATATGCATTTGTAGGAAGAGTTAAAAGAATCACAATAGAAAATAGTAAGGTTTTTCTGGTTCCCTGTGAACTTTCGCAACATTTAAAATCATTAGAATATTTGGACCTCAGTGAGAATTTAATGGTTGAAAACTTACTGAAAAACTCAGCCTGCGAGGGTGCCTGGCCCTCCCTGAAAACCTTAATTTTAAGGCAAAATCATTTAACATCGTTAGAAGAAACTGGAAAAATTTTGCTTACTCTGAAAAATCTAACTCACCTTGACATCAGTAAGAATAATTTCCATCCTATATCTAAAACTTGTCAGTGGCCAGAAAAGATGAAATATTTGAACTTATCCGGCACAAGAATACACCGTTTAACTGATTGCATTCCTCAAACGCTGGAAATTTTAGATATTAGCAATAATAACCTCAATTCATTTCCTTTGACTATGCCACAACTCAAAGAACTTTATGTTTCTGGAAATAAGTTGAAGACTCTTCCAGATGCCTCCCTCTTACCCATGTTACTAATCATGAGAATCAGCAGAAATACGATAAACACTTTCTCCAAGGAACAACTGGATTCCTTTCAAAACCTGAAGACTTTGGAAGCTGGCGGCAACAATTTCATTTGCTCCTGTGAATTCTTGTCTTTCACGCAGGAGAAGCAGTCCCTGGCCCAGACCCTCACTGACTGGCCCGCAAATTACCTGTGCGATTCTCCGTCCCACGTGCGGGGCCAGCGGGTTCAGGACACCCGTCTCTCGGTTGCTGAGTGTCACAGGGCGGCTCTAGTGTCTACTGTGTGCTGTGTCCTTTTCCTGTTGATCCTGCTCACTGGGGCCCTGTGCCACCATTTCCATGGGCTGTGGTACATGAAGATGATGTGGGCCTGGCTCCAGGCCAAAAGGAAGCCCAGGAGGGCTCCGCAGAGGGACGTCTGCTATGACGCCTTTGTGTCGTACAGCGAACAGGATTCCCACTGGGTGGAGAACCTGATGGTCCAGGAGCTGGAGCACTTCAACCCTCCCTTTAAGTTGTGTCTTCATAAGCGGGACTTTATTCCTGGCAAATGGATTATTGACAATATCATTGACTCCATCGAAAAGAGCCACAAAACCATCTTCGTGCTTTCCGAAAACTTTGTGAAGAGCGAGTGGTGCAAGTATGAACTGGACTTCTCCCATTTCCGTCTCTTTGATGAGAACAACGATGCTGCCATTCTCGTTCTCCTGGAGCCCATCGAGAAGAAGGCCATTCCCCAGCGCTTCTGTAAGCTGCGGAAGATCATGAACACCAAGACCTACCTGGAGTGGCCCATGGATGAGACTCAGCAGGAAGGGTTTTGGTTAAATTTGAGAGCTGCAATCAAGTCTTAGGTTCCTTCATGAAAGGCCAGTCTGGGTCTGGGGGAGGCCTTTCTGTCACTAGTTATAACTAAGTCCATTGTGACACAAGGATATGTAAACCTTGCAAGGACTTGCTTACTAAAGATACTAAAACTGTTCAAGCTTTATCTAGAGTGCTGTTTTGTACAAAGTGCTACCAGACTGAAAAAAAATGGTTTTGTTTTTTCTTTATTCTAGGAGACAATGATGATCTAAGTCTGTTATTGATACCTGAATTGTCTGTGGCAAGTGGTTTTGTTCACTAGAAAACGCACAGATGAACAGAAGATTCCGAATTAACGTGTAGTCGTCTCCCTTCTAGCAGACCCACCCGTGTCTGTAGAGGACATCTGCCATCCCACCGAGCTGTCCCCTCTGTGTGGGGCTGCTCTTGGGATCAAAAGGGCAAAATACTTGGCCCAATACATGGGTCACTCAGACCCAATATTGTTGTTCCTCGAAAAAAAGTGTTGTGTGTCCCCATCAAACTTTACAGGATACAAAATGCCTGAAAAAGGGTGTGTTTTCAAGTAAACTGGGTCTGTCTGTCTGGGTATTTGATAAATTTCTCTGGCCATAATTACTTGAGTGCGGGTACCTAACACAACATACAGTAAATTATGTTTTTCAATGAAAATCAAACTAATAAAATAAATAAAATACTCAGTTTAGAAGAATTTGAAAGAAGCCTTCCATACTCCTGCCTTACCTTCCTCCAGCCCTTAACTATATGTGAAGTCCTAATTTGCATCTGGTGACTCTCTCAGTCCCTGTCTTCTAGTCCCTAGTCTGTCACCCCTGCATCATGGTGCTTTTCTTCTTTTTTCAAAAAGTCTAGATTCTGATTCTAAAAATGGCTTCCTCTTTTTTTTTTCTTCTGAAAGATAGTACCCATGAACCAAATAAATTTTTAAACAAGTATAAACCTAGAGATTCTTCACAATGACAAAAAAATACTTGATATACAAGAATGTAAAAGACAGTACTTCTATATGTTAATTTTTATAATCTGGATTTAATAATACATTAAGTTTAATGCAATTAACTTTATATACTGATTTGGTGCAATTTTCTTGTTGAGCTGGGGACCACATGGAAAAGGAAGTGAACTTCTGACCCTGCTCAGTTCTCGGCCAGAATTGGGTTTATGTGGTTAATTGGGCTCTGGAGTCCAAAAAGTCCTGGGTTAGTAGATATGTATCTTTGGGCAAGTTGCTTAACCTAACCCAAAATATTTTCTTGTCCCGAAAATAGGGATAATGATATCGAGATCATAGAGTACGATGTAGATGTTAATGTACGGTAATGTCACCATACCACTGAGCACATGCCCCTCGGTCGCTATTCCCTTTGGAGGGGGCAAGAGGGTGAAGCCTATGAGAACACGGACCATGGGCTGCTGCATGGGGCAATGGGGTCCCTGTGGTAGCGTTGGCTGTTGCTGTTTTCCAGGAAGGAATTCGTCTCTTTATGTATTATCATTTGCAAATGGATATTTTTCCATTATGGGTACCAGCAGGGATAGAAGGGATCCTGCTGTTTGCAGAAAAATATCCCAAAGAAATAAGTCTATTAAGTGCATAAGAGGCTTTAGTTCTTGGGACACTCATATAAGGTTTCTTCTCGCTCGTACAAACTCCTGGGAGTGTTAGGGAGGAGACAGTAGCCGGCCTAAGAAAAACAATGGCAAAGTTCAGGAGCAGGAAACTGGAAGGGATGCCACGGACACTGAGCACAATAATGGACTTTTTGCTTTACTTCTCTGTTTCCTGCATTAAGCCCAATGTTAATCATCATGAGAACTAGACACATTGAACATGGAATTGATCTGTTAGATTGAATTGCAATAATTTACACAGCAAATAGAAATAACCTCATAGTTAATTGATATATTTAAAATAATATTTTAAAAATAATCTTCGCAGTCCTCACTGCAAATGTTAAACACGTTCACTGTAGAAATTTTATGAAAGAGATGAGATTACATAAAAGAAAGTAAGAATCAGCTCTTATCCTTTCACCTTCGGATAACCACTGACTACTGTACAGTGTGTAGATCTCCAATATTTTACACACACACACACACAACTTCACAAAACTGGGAATCAATTTTAAATACTTAAGTTACATGAAGATGGCATCTTTATTTATTCTGAGATTGTTTAGCTATTATTATCTAATATTTCTGAACTCTGAGGGTCATTCAGAATTCCAGCAAATTCATGATGGCTTGTTGCCCAGGGTTCTAAAAGGTTCTAAAAGCAGTAAAGCACCCTGGCCAGGTAAGTCAGTTGGTTAGAGCGTCATCCCAATACACCAAGGTTGCAGGTTCAATCCCTGGTCAGGGCACACACAAGAATCAACCAGTGAGTGCATGGATGGGTGGATCAACAGGTCAATGTTTCTCTCTCTCTCTCTCTCCTCCTTCCCCCCTCTCTCTCTCTCAAATCAATAAATTAGAACTTTTTTTAAGAAGAAAAGAAAAAAAAATCAGATACCTATGCTCTTAAAAATAAAATAAATAATAGGTTCTGTTGTAAAAGCAACCCTCATGCAGCTGTCCACTGAAGATAAGTGGCAAACACATCAGAGATCAATTTAAGGTCTCCTTCTTTTCCAGAAGGAAAACGAATTCCTAGTGTTTATCCAGCTGTGAGCTCTTTTATTTGTCAATAGACCAGCAGATCAAGAATCTTGTTTTACCTCCTTAACCTCTGCACATGCCTATTATATAGTAAGTATTGAATTGTTGAAGTTTTTGCTGAGTAGAGCCCTGGCTGGTGTGGCTCAATGGATTGAGTGCCAGCCTGCGAAGCAAAGGGTCACCAGTTTGATTCCCAGTCAGGGCACACGCCTGGGTTGGGGACCAGGTCCCCAGTTGAGGGCATGCAAGGAACAATCACACATTGAAGTTTCTGTCCCTCTCTTTCTCCTTTCTCCTCTCTCTAAAAATAAATAAATAAAATCTTTTTTAAAAAAAGAAATGTTTGTGAGTAGAGAAATAAATGAGTTAAATCTCCTATTAATCTGGATGGTGAACCAATCATGACACTGAAGTGCTGGGCAGTTTCAAGAAGGAAAACTACCAACAGGTAGACATCTTACTGTGAGTTTTCTTCATTAAAACTGTGATGGAACTTTGAATAGCAGTAAGTATGTTGCCAATATTTTTGACAGTATGTTTTTTTCTGCTTCATATGAATGTAATACCTTTAAATATTACAGTGTAGATGTCTGGTGTTATGTATACAGGGTTGGCTGTTTAACACATCTAAACAGTGTTGGCTGTTTAGACGGGCACTTTAAACCAAATTGATGTGGAGGAGTCTGAAATATTCGTGGGCTAATTCTTTCTGACTGGTCTTTCCTATTCTGTTAATTTTGTTCCTTCCTGCAAAAGGATTATTTTTAGTCCTACAACAAATATTTATTGAGTGCCTACTATATATTGGGCAGTGCTCCAAGTGCTGGAGATACAGTGGGAGGAAAAACCAGCTAAAATTCTCTGCCTTCATGGAGGGAAAGACAAGAAATAATACACAAATCTATGGTATGACTGCAGGTATCGATAAGTGCTGAGAAGAAAATAAAAGCAGAGCACAGCCATAGAGTGATAGTGTGCGAGTGTGTGTGTGCAGAGTGGCAAAGGAGAAGGGAGTGGTTCTCTCCACTTCGGGCAGCCCTGGGCGGGCCAGGAGCATTTGGCGGCCCAGGAAACCTGGCAGCGCTCTGGCCCCCTGGGTGGGCTGTGGCACCTCGTGCTCGAGGTTTCAGGAGTAGTCCTGTCTCTGCGGAAGGGCCTTGTGGTGCCAAAGTGGTCACGTGGTCACAAGCACAAACAGTAGAAGAGACGAGATTCTTAAACCACAGATAACAACTCTACCGACTTCTTGAAGATGTTGAACTGATTGGAAGTTATTAGTTATCATTAAATGTTCTGTGTGAGAAGTACTTTGCAAACTTCTGAAACATGGTACAGATGACGTCGATATCAGCCAAATTAGAGGCAAAGTGTCCATGGAGATTGGTAATAAATGTGTCACATGCATGGATTAGAAAACACTTGTCATGGGAAAGGTGCACAACACACTTCATTTGTTTATTCTGTTGTTCAGTTCTTTCAATTCTTTCCTCATAGACAAATTGCCTTATGTACACCACCAGATTTTACTCAATTCTCTGAATTCTTGGAATTATCTCTAAAATTAACAAAAGAACGTCAATAGTTAATGTAGAATCAAGGACTTGAAAATATTTCAACATGCAATTCCTTACTCCTGTGGTAAGTCCGCTGTATTATTCCAGCCCTAGTGAGTAGTGAATGCCTTGAACTCTTCCCATCACCATGGGTTGCCAGGCCACCCAATAACGAAGCCAATCCAGGATTTGTCCGTGAAAAATGTGCATGCGCTCCCAGCTAAGTCTCAGTTAAGGAGGTTCCCCTACATAAGGCCAAGTGGCAGAGATATTTCTAAATATCATTTGCAACTATAATAAGGAATGTCATGAGTAGGCATTTCCTTTCTTGTTCTCTGTGCTCATTTAAAAGCCCCTTATTATTTCTACTTCACCTAATTTCTAAAAATAAAAATTTCTACTAAAATCCCAAACTATAAAACAAGAATAAAAGGCAAGGGTCCTTTACTGAAAGAAAGAGGAAGAGGGGAATGACTACATTGGAAAACCAAGGATAAAGGAGTTGCTATAACTGAACAAAATAGCTCTGGGCTTTCCTGTAGTTAGCTTGGCAGAGGAAACTCATTGTGTATTAAAAAGAAAAACGTGTTCACAGATAAGCTATACATTTTCCTGGTGTCTTTGATGAGTTGTGCTACGGGGATTTGATGCGTAGTGTCTCTGGTAGCGATGTTACAGGCATAAAGGTGGGATTTTCACATGTAGCTTTTTCTTCTATTGAGTCTCGGAAAGAGCACATGTAATAGCCAAAAGCTTATTCTCTCAAGAGTATATAAAGAAACCAATTGTTCTTTGTTATTTAAATGATCATTAAAGGTGACATTTATGATCACATTATGACCAATTTTATAACAAAGATTTATGTACTGTGGTTTTATTAGGTTTTCACCAAGAATGGTTTTGGGCTCTGTCTCCCCATAAGAGAATGGAAATTCGGAGGGGCGGATGACAAGGAAGGAGGAAGGAGCACTGCACACCTGCAGCCTTGGTTGTGCTGAATTGTGGGGACTCCCTGAGAAAAGCTGGGCCTGTATGTGGAGCTGGTGGTTGCAGACCGTATTCTCCAGCTACAGCGTGGCTTTAACACCTGAAGACCCATCAGCGCGCCTCCTCTGCTCCTTGGCTTGAAAGTCTTTCCTTGATTTGCAAACCTCGGAGACAGGGCAAGGGAGGTTGCTGCCCACAGGCACTGTTATAACTGTGCGTTTAGGGTTGGTGAGGAGCGGGGAACAAGGGAGGGGTCTCCTTTAGCACTGAACGATTTAGGTGACTGATACCGGGAAGTATAGAAAGGCTGTCTCTTATGAGAAAAAAGGGTACTTGGCATCTTGATGCCAACCTCTCAATGCCCTTCTGCTTAAAGGGAGATATATTTTAGTTCCATTTACCGCTCTCCCCCAGAAGAGATATGTGTATTATGGTCAGGAGCCAGTGGGGCTGAGGACTAAGTCTGTTCAGTCAGCTCTAAGTGAGATTGTGACCTTCCTGTGCCTTAATGAGATTTGGATTTTTTCAAATAGGGGTCCTGGCGTCTATAAAACTCCTAGTTGCTGCCACAAGCTGACCAGGCTTGTTGGGTTTTCATTTCCTTTCAATATTATTATCACTAGGCTCTTGCCTGGGAAAAGATGAGGCCATGGCAAGGAATTTTAAAAACCCAAAATCTAGGGGGGAAAGCCCCTCTCATTAATGGAAGTAATAAAATTTGGTACACCTTAAAAATACCTTTTTATACTTTAATTTACATTCGGAGCTTTTAAAATTTAAATTCCAAGTTATCTGTCTGCCCACCCACCCATCCACCCATTACTTATCATTCATCTGTCCATCTGTCCACCATCTATCTACATAATCTTTCCATATATTTACTTATCTTTTGCAATGTACCATCACATTGGACTAAAGCCCATATAGTGGCACATATGGAATATAAAGGGTACAATGTATCTTTTTTGGCGCTTAAGTTCCTAACCAGAATAGTAGTAGGCACAGAGGAGAAAAGAAAGAAGCCAATAAATCATTCTGATGAAATAGGTGATTAGGGAAAGAAGCAAGTTTCCTGCTGTAACTACAATGAAGACAATGAAAGTTTAGACTGAAGAATGCTTCACCAGAAATACTTAAGATAATATTTTATAACTTTTGTTTTTAAAGGATACGGGTTACTGATCATCCTCTTCAAATCAACCTTCTCTTTGCAGTATGGGCAAGTCTGCTTTTTACCAACAATGCACTAACCTTGGATGCAGAGTTCATGAAAGCTTCAGCATCTTGTTAGGGAAGTTTCTGTATATGAAAAGCAAGGTTTGCTTCATGAGAACACGATGGAAATGATCCCGTCTGTAGCGGGGAGTCGTGGAGGGTGAGAGGGTAGCTGTCAGTCGTGACGAGATGGTGCACGTGACTTTTTTAGGGAGATTCCGGGGGCCGGTGGACCCCTCCCCACCAGGGACTGTGAGCTTGGTGTTGGAGCTGCAACAGCTTCATGATCCTGAGCAGTTTACCAAACTTCTTGGCCTCACTTATTCTTCGTGCCTCACTTAAGTCTCACAAGAATTATATTAGATAAAGAATGCGAAAGTGCCTTTTTACAGTAATACATCATCTTATTTCTCTGCCTTACTTCTTGTGCATTTCTCATGCACTTCCCGTAGTATTTCACTGTTCTACTTTTGTGCGTTACTCATTATCGACATGCAATCAGACTTGTCTTAGGCACTTAGATGAACTTAAATTATTTGTGGTCATGAACTTACAAATATATCTATTAGCTTCTTATGTTTTTTTCTCAGCCTTTTAAATTTACTGATGAGGAGCCAGTTGTTTTTAATAGAATATAAACCTAGGCATTTACAAATTCATCTGTATACATCTCCTTATGTAGAAAGTCTGACCCTTTGCCTCCAAAGTAGAGAGTGAACCCTTTGTTTCCCCAGCACCAGGGACTTACTCCTATGAGAGCATGTACCATTCTGTATCATACCTTTCTGTCTATTATGTGTCTCTCCTGGACCACATGCTATGTCTCATTCATCTCTGTCCTCAGTACCTTAGGCAGTGCCTAAGTGCCTATCCACTGAAGGAATATTTGAATAAATTACTCAGCGCCAGTTACTTTTGCAAACATATTTTCCCAGGTTTCACAACATTGTAGATTTGGGAAAAATGATTAACTATACTGAGATTGATCCTATTCATTTATCTATTTCTACAGTCATTGATCCCAATGGCTTTCTGGACCAAGATCTCATGATTTTCTGGCTGGCCTTCATAAACCCATGAGAACAGCAATGATACAGAAGGCCCGTCCCTCCCTAACAAATGGAGGATTGTGAAGGTGTAGACAAGTCAAGGCTATGTGAATAATTCCTCAATATCAGATAAGTGTGCAACAAAGACTTTCCACTATTTTATGTTCTTGGAATTGGGTTGCTTTTGCAATATGCTTAGGTTAACATAAAGTATTGTATTACAACAAAGATTCTGAACCAAAATTCATTTGGCCCTTCATTCAAAAAGGGCTGGAGCCAGCACTGAAACATCCACCTCCTCTTTAACAGTCTCTTTCATCTTCAGAATCTCCACGCTGATTTGCCACAGAGCAATACTCGGATCTCTGCCCTTGCCTTGTTAATATGACTCATGGTTGCCTGCTCCTTGCTAATATGACTCATGCTAAAATGGGCCATTAATAATACTCCCTGCAAAGCAAATTTAAAGATAACTACATTTTGGATTACATATGCACACATGTACAACAATCCCTAAGGGCTTTTAAAGGTGGAGAGAGGAAATATTTCCACTTGCAAAAGGCAGCAGGGGCTCTGTTCCAACATTTGAAAAGTAAATCACATTTAAAACTCGGGCCAGACTTGGAAAATTTCTACGAAGAATGATAGTTTTTTGGGAAGGGTATCACATGGAAAAACCACCATAGAATTCCCTATGGGATATCTTTGTTTCTTACCTTCACATGTAAAGGCTAAAATGTTGGAGTAAAGGTTCCTATCACATTTCAAATGCATTTGATCCCGTTTTTTACCCTCAGGATTGAGTAAGTGGAATCTGTCTGGATTAAACAGAACTGAATCATAAGCGGTGCCCATCTAGGGTATTACTGACTGAGATAGGTGAGCTTCGAGGCAAGAGACAGATGGTTGAAGCACCTCAGAATGCCAGAGTTTTGAACTGAGTGTATAGTAATACTGTAAAATTGGTATTACACTGTAAAATAAAGTATTATGTATTTAGAAAAGAATCATTGGCTAGCCTAAACCCAGCTTTGGCATCCAGAGTTATATGCTGTCTCGCTTGAGGCTCTTGATCCCAGCATCTTTCCACATACTGAGCTTCTCCTCCATGGTTGCTGGGTGCTCAGAGAGTGCTGGTTCCCAGGCCTGCCTTGTCTGGTCCTTAACGCCTAAATCTCTTTCAGCCGGGAGATGGCTATTTGGAGTAGAGCAGCTCATAGGCAGGGAGCTCATAGCTAAATGGTCCAAGAACTAGGTGCTCACATTTTGGTCCTTCCTTTTGTAATGTAGGATGTCCTGCTGCCTGTGGTGTTATCCTCTCTGCCCCCATTACTGCCAATGACAGGAGCAGGTTCCCAGGATTATCTGCAGGCAAAACACACTTTGCTGTCCTTGGTCCTGGGAGACTCAGACACGGGGCTCCACCCAGACAGTTCTAGCTTCTCCCTGCACCTGAAACGTTACCTTTTTCTCACCCCCAACCCCTTCTCTCCCTGGACCTTGGCTGCCTGTTCACTTCTGGCTTCGCCAGCTTTCCCAGCCAGCATCCTGTACAGATGCTGCAGCTTTTGGGTCCTTGTGGCATTAAGATTCCTTTTTAAAAAGGAAATTGCTGGAGGAGGAGGTTCACCTGAAATGAGCAGTTCAGTCTTCAGCAGGGATGACCAGAAAGTCTCAGAAAGAGAGACAGGAAGCAGGAAGAAGGCCTTGGGACTCAGTCAGGCAGAGGAGATGGGGGAGGCAGAGAAGAGGGCAGGCGGAAGGTGACGAGACGGTCTTCCCTAAGGTGCCATCGCCTACACCCAATACAGGTTACTTGAAACCTGCCTCCCGATATTGCTTCCTAAAGGCCAAATGGTTTCCCATGAGGAGGATGCATTGACTGCAGGAAAGCTGGTGGATGTCTTCACTCAGCCTTTCTTCATCCAGCTCCACGGGGATGTTCTGTCCACAGCACAGATGCTGTCGGACAAGCTCCGTGTGGGCATCCTGCTGATGCTGTAGAACTGTTTGGGGAAAGGCACAGAGCAGCACTGGAAAGGAGAGCATAGGCCCTTCTCCGAACACAGGGAAGACACTGCCAGGCTGCAGGACGTGGAGTCCTCATCGCTTCCTCGTTGGTTTAGAACTTGGAACACTTTTTCCCATAGGAAAGATGCTATGGTGGGGTGAGGTTTCCAGGCAAAAACCCACTGAACCCCAGATGGGCCCAAAATACATTGCTAAATATAACCACAAATCTAATCTCCCGACTAAGCAACCCTTCAAGAGGAACAGTTTTTATTCAGGGATGTAGCTCAGAATCACACAGGAAGCTTTTCGAGCTTATCCAGTCAGAGACTGGCCATGCTCTTTAATCCCATGGAGGTTCTGCTTCACAGCTCTGGAGTACACCCGTGCATCTGTGTATTTTTAGTTCCCATGTGATTATAATGCACGTGTGCACGCGGGTGCGCGCGCGCACATACACACACACACACCATGCTGTCAATTCAAGTTGCCAGTGGTTGTACCAATGGCTTGAGGCAGTGCATTCATATACAGGGTCTGGCACAAATAACCCCCCCTTTTTTTATTACAAAATTTTTTATCACAAAATCACAAGCATGTAATTCTGTAACTTAACAATATCACATTCAAGCACACCATATGACATTTTAGCTGAAATGTTCAAATTAAAACTGTAAATGATTACACTCATATTATTATCCTACCAACCACACTCAAGCAGGCCTTGCTTCTGCTGGACCCAGTACTTAGTAGCTAAAGTGAAGGTAGCAGAGGATGGGTTGGGACCAGGTGAGACATCTCCAGAAAGTTGGTGCTTAAAGACTTGAATGTCTCACCAGCTTAAATCTCTTCTTCCTGGCCCCCTGGAGAAGAGGGGACTTAGAACCTTCTCTTTCTCTCTTGTCCATAAACAAATGTAAGAGGCCCTGGGAATTTTTTTTAAGGAGTATGGTTTCTGGTTTTTGTTGCAAGAACTGGGTGTCAAAATGCTCCCTCCTTTGTTGACCTTCCGCCTTATAAGAAAGGCAGCTGGCCCAGAGATGGCACATGGCAGAGGAATTCCAGGAGGTGTCTTGTTCCGGCATTTTCCCACAGAAGTTGTGTTGCAGGCTCTAGGAAAAGGGTAAGATAGTGCCTGTGGAGGTGGGGAAGGGCGGATGGGGTGGGGTGAAATCAAGGAAATGTTCCCTCAGTCCTGCCCCATAAATGGAGAGAGAGAAGAAGAGCCCAGAAGTTCACTCTTGCCACTCACTCTAGGTTCTCTTCTTCAGATCTGCTGTGTACCAACATACCGTCAGAGGACATAGCTGCAGAATTCCTGGAACCGCCAGTCATCCCTGGAGGCTCTGGTTTGGGATGAAGAGAGGTGCATGTGTCAGACACGGACAAATGCTCCTAGTATCTGAGTCTGAAATCCATTGAACTGGAAAGTATGCCTGTTCTGAGTTTTATTTTTAAGAGAGTTACAAAAACTATTAGTTTTGTTTTGTTTTTTTTTCATTTCAGGGAACTATATACAGTCAGAATCTATTTAGCACACTTTTTATATCTTCTACATCTTCAAATGCTATATAACAATAACTGATCTTTATGATGAGTAGTTCCCTGAAGCACTGGTTGATTCTAAAGTGTTTTAGGTGCATCAAATATGGCTTTTATTTGCATTAGGCAGAGATAAAAGGTTTTGTTATTGTTGAAATTTTACTAATTCTTTAAATGTTGGCAACTGGGTTATCCTAGATATGGTTTCTTCCAAATAATTGGTGTATTTTATTTTAAAAGATGCCTTGTTTCTTAACCACTTTATATCAGTAAGAAATGTATTTTCTAATTCATTAGCAAAGACAATTTTTTGGTATAAGGAGAATCCAAGGAACAATTGGGTTGAGAGAACCAAAAAAGATTTATTGATTTCTGGAAATAGATGTAAATATGGTGTAAGATGAGACCATTTCTCCATGTACCATGAAGGGCTACAAAGAATAAAAGCCCCTATGGAGAAGCCATGTATTCTGAGCAGATCTCTGCAAAATCTCTCCCCATTATGCCATAGTAGAAGCCATAACACAGAGACACAGTGCCAAAATCCACGGAATCCCTAGCCTTGATTCTGTTTAAAACAACAGGACAAGGAAATAAGAATGTGGCATTTGGGGGACAGGAGAGAGTCGCAGCTAAGAGAATATTTCTTGCCACTTAATAGAAACTTGAGGGGATTTTTTTTCCATTGAATTCTGTAGTTTTCCTTTTTGTTAATGAAAACATTTTAAATTCTCTAAATTTCCCTCAAATTTTACCACTCAGTGCTAAGTAGACAGAGTAATTCTTTTTTTTTAAAAAAAGATTTTATTTGTTTATCTTTAGAGAGATGGGAAGGGAGGGAGAAAGAGAGGGAGAGAAACATCAGTGTGTGGTTGCCTCTCACACACCCCCAACTGGAGACCTGGCCTGCAACCCAGGTCTGGGCCCTGACTGGGAATTGAACCAGTGACTCACTCAATCCACTAAGCCACACCAGCCATGGCTGGACAAAGTAATTCTTAAGCAAGCCTTCAAATACTTCTTAGGACTGCAGTCCTTAGACGAGCTGGTTCTAACCAAGGGCTGTCAGTCTGGGCTGAGCACAGGAAGACCTGGGCAGCTCGTAAAAACCTCCATCCTCCCGCTATTCCCAAGGCCGAGTACATTGGTCTCTCTGGGGATGGGGTCTGGGCAGCAATACTTTTTGGAGCTCTCTAGGCCCCCGGTAGCTCAATGGGCAGGTGGCATTCCAGACCTCTTTAAAAGAGTGATGGTTCTCAGCCCTAAGTATAGGTTATAATCAACCAGGAGATTTAAAGCTGTACTGGTATGAGAGTCCACCTTTGAGGGCTCTAACTTAAGTGGCCTGGGGTGGGTTGCACAGCAGTCCTTTTTAGGGGCTACTTAGGTGACTCTATAACACAGCTACGGTCAAGAATCCCTGCTGCCAACCTCAGATCTTATAGAATGATTTCAAATACCTTATCTCACCCAAGAATATTCGAGGTAGATATAAGAATCAACCTCAAATTTTGAGGCCTTTTGCTACTATACCATAGTTGTCATGTGTTAGTAAAAAAAAATTTCTTTTGCAAGTTGGATTATAGTTCAAATATAATAGAATTCTTTATTATAATCTCCTCTTTTTTCTCTTTTTAGAAAAACTTGTTGACACTATTACAGATGCACCTCCAAAGATCTCTTTAAAAAGTGAACAATTAGCTATGGCTGGTGTGGCTCAGTAGATTGGATGCCGGCCTGAGAACCAAAGGGTTGCCGGTTTGATTCCAGTCAGGGCACATGCCTGGGCTGTGGGCCAGGTCCCCAGTTTGGAGGCATGTGAGAAGCAATCGCACATTGATGTTTCTTTCCTTCTCTTTCTCCCTCTCTTCTCTCTCTAAAAATAAATTTAAAAAATATTTTTAAAAAAGTGAATCATTAGCTTCTAATTTAATTTCTAAATCTTAATCATTGCATATTTGGTTTGTTATATCTGTCAGTAGCCTCAAATACTAGCAGTGGGCCTGGGTGGATGTGACTGAATCGGGAAGAGAGTGGGGAGTGGACAGGAGTTGGGTAGTCTGTTTTTGGAACCTTCTTCTAGGTGTTTTGGGGCTCTGTTAACTTGAGAAAGAAATATAAAGGCAGAGAGCTCTGTAGATTTAGAGGGTACATGTCTCTTGGTGATATGAATTGGGAATTGCCAACATAGGAGGCAGCTTCATCCTTTCAAGGTTTGCCGGGTATATCTGAGAACTAGGGTAGTGGGGAGGAGTGAGGGTTATCTTCCCTCCAAGTCCAGGGGTGCAGGTATTGACAAAAAGCATAGTTAACAAACTTCATGGTTCCACAGAAGAGACTCTCCATGCAATGATGATCAACAACACTTAGCAGGGAAAAAAATAATTCCTTCCCAGCCTAAAGGGTTAAGTTCTTCATAGGCTTCATTGTAGGAAAAGTCATGGTTAAGGATCTTAAAAATCTTATGAGATAATAGTGTTGGGACAACTGTAGTTTCAAGTGATTTAATAAAAGTCCTTACACATATTCTTGTGTTCACTAAGAAAAAGTAATATAGACAGTATGCTAAAAAAAAACACAACCAGTGTCTTTATATGTCTTAAACTAGCAAATAATAGCTCTGTACATTTACTTTCTATTCCTTTCCTGTTAGAAAATGATAGGCCCGAAAGTTTCATGAAATGCGTAAAAAATTGGATTGCGCTCTTGCCATAGGAAGAGTCCTTCCCACCAGGGCTGGCTGTCTCTCCCATTGCCGTCCCTGTTTTATGAGTTAAAGCGTCGCTGATCTCAGCCTTTCTATTATCATCGTCCCAGAATAACATCAATCTGACAGGTATTCTGGGGACGTTTTACTTGCGCTGCTTTCCGTAGCTGTGGTGAGTCTGGAACCCCCTTTCGAGGACACAGGCTGATGACCCAGCCTGAGCTCTGCCAGGGAGCACCTCATCCACAGGGCATCTTGGCCACCGGACTCCCAGTGGAAGCTTTATTTCTCTCCAGATTTTCTTGCTCTGTTATCTCTACCTCTCTTTCAGTTTCTAAGCACTCAGTTTCCTCCTTTTCCAACTGTCCCCAGCAAAGGGGATTTCATGGGTACTGGAAACAAAATTCTAGAGCAGTACTGACCACCGAAAATATAGACTGGACATACATAGGACATGGAACATTTCTAATAGCCACATTAAAAAGGTCAAAAGAAATGGATGAAATGATTTCACCAGTACAATGAAAATGGTATCATTTTAACATGTAGTTAATACAAAACTTATTTTTCATACTGTCTTTGAAATCCAGTGTATATTTTTTCCTACAGCATGTCTTATCTCGTATTTTAAGTGCTCAGTAGTCACATGTGCTAGCAGCTACTCTATGGATAGCATAATTCTGGAAGTTTTAAGGAAGAAGGTATAGAGAAGGAAATGACACTTCAGATTTTTATGGTAGGGCAATGTAGGCCTACTTTTAATGGAGATCTTTTAAACTTGCAGGTCAAGTATAGTTTCTCTTTAAATCACATATATATGTGTGTATGCATTTTGAGGGCACACAAGCAGGTTTTGTCACTCCTGTCTTTCTACTTTTAATAACACACTTCAACGACAGCACAGTTTTGCATGACATATAAAGTTAATATTCAGTATAATAATGCTGTAAGTATGATGATGAAGTTTAATAGAAGTATCTTTTTCCTATTTTAAAAGAAAAAATTTTCTATAGCTATTAAATTCATTTAATGCTCTGTGATCTGGGAATGTCACATCCATTTTTTTTTTCTTGGCTGCTATTGAAATGCTTTAGCTTTAATGGCAAGTTTGCAGTAAATAATAGTGTTTCTTTGTGCCCTGAACAAATATAGTTTTAAAAAATGTTTAAGTAAACATATATAGCCAAGGAGAAAAACTAAATAACAAAATGCATATCATACTTGTACTGGGAAAAAGGAATATATGCATATGGAGAATGTGCTAGCTTTAATGTACTTGTAATAAGAGAATCAGAAAATGAAAAATACTTATTTTGTCATAAAAGTTGTTGCAAGCATTTGTATCTTCTTAATAATTCATGTGGATTATTGGGCTATATAACTTCCTTTGGAATATTCTTTTTCTAGGGGGAGTAAAGAGGGGTGTTAAAAAAGCAAGTAAATAAGAAGTATCTTATTCCAGTAAACTTAAATGTGGGAAACTGCTAAATGACCCTGAAATTATTCTTCTGCTTGAGTATCATTTTACTAATATATAGTAATCATTTTTTTGAACAAAAGGAAAGAAATTGAGTTTATTAAGGTCTTTGATATTTAATTAGGAGAAAAGAAAAAACTTTGTATTAGTTCTTTGAAATTAGTTTATATTTTCAAAGCATATTTAATAACTGGATTTACCAACTTAGTTTTTTGAGAAAATGATAAACAAATGATGAAGTAATTGATGAAAATGGACCTTTACTTTGGAATTCATTGTAGCTAAATTAAAAATGCTGTACTATGTGTTTTTCATTCATAGTAGATATAGTCTAGAATGAAACATTTCCCTGAAAATCTAAAACTATATTGGAAAATCTATTTTTCAAAAACATTGACAGAAATTCATTGTTGCACTAAAGCTCAGTTGTTTTTTAAAAATATTTTTATTCTGTAGTCTTCTCTCTTACTTTTCTTTTGGTTTCCACCAAAGACATCTACTATACCAGTGAAATCAACTAGAAACAATGTGTGCATAGGAAATTATAGGGCCAAATGCAGGTCTAGTTACAGAAAACTTGACCACGTGAATGTTACAAGCAAATGCTGGGTGATATTAAGGTCTTCATTGGAAATACTTCCTTGAAAAATAAATGGAGTCCACTCATTGTAAATATGATAGCCAAATTAACCTCAACACCAAATGCATAGCTGAGTTTGTAGATTAGAAGGAACCATTTGTAGACCAAACTGTGGAGTGGAAAATAGGGAGAAACACAGAGCATGATATATTATAAAGTGTTTTATCTTTTTCAAACATTGTCATAAGTCAATTTTTAGTTTCTAAAATTCTATTTATTATGTAGTATAAAGACTATAAGTATATTATATCAGCTAAACTCAATAGTAATCCAGAGTTTTAATATACTGGGGGTGGCTAGACCATTGCTCTCAAGGGCAAACAGTGGCAAGAGACCCTGTTTGCCCCTCAGTCCCTGCTCTGTCCTCCTGAAACCCGTCCCCTGCCTTCCACACCAAACTTCACTGAGAATCTCACTGCAGAGACCTGAGCCCACCCTCTCACCTATGACCCCTAGAGCCCTGTCCCCAGCCCTCTCACCTGCCTTGGCTTCCTCCCTGTTGAAGCGATTGTATCCAACAATTCAGTTCGATGATATTTCTGATGTAAAGTTTTGACGCGATCTTAAAAGATGTCTGCTTCAGTGAGTTCCAGTCAGAAGGGTTTCTGAAACACGATGGTTTAAATGGGGGTTGTGGGCTAGCCGGAGAAATGAGTTGTTATTTACATCATTTTTATGCTGAAGTGCTTTCCCTGCTTCAAGCAACTCACATGCAAGGGCTGTCTGGTGGCGGGGTGGGGGTGGGGCACCTCTGCCTCCAGGTGTGACCCTGCCCAGGGGAGGCGTCAGCTGTGAGTTACACGGAGCCAGAAGCTCATGCGAGGTGGCTCAGATCCCTTTGAGACTGTGTCATCTCTACAGGGGCCAGAGCGGGCTTTGGGGTCAGAGGGACTCAGTGGGCCAGGGGATTGGTCCTTTTGATTGGCCAGGGCCAACTGGTTGAATCTTTGCTCAGTGCAGCCAGATTGAGGTGGGAGTTCATGCTGCTAAAAGGGGTGAGGACAGGAAAAATGGCCAACTCCAAGAGGGCCTCCCTCTCCACCCAGAAGCACCAGCTGGCACCAGAGTGGGCTCCCTGAACCCCACGCACACTCCGCCTACCCTCTCTCTACCCAAAAGGCCCTTCTCCAGGTGGTGCCAGCATCAGCAGTGTTCCTGACTAACAGCTTTTTTAAATGCAGTGTTTCTCTGTGCAAAATGGTTTGTTGATATAACTAGGTCACATAATGCTGTTGGGGGCAGAGGCTTGGCATTCCAGTAGTCCTTGGCTTAATTCTGGGCTCTGCCACTTACTACCTGTGGGACCCTGGCCAACCTACGCAGCATTTCTTCCTGTGATCGCTCATTTGTAATGGGAGGGAGATAACACCAGCTCCTAAAATAGTTCTCAAGATTGTCTGAGATAATGTATTGATGTTTCAAAGACTTGGCACATTACATGCTCGATATGTCATATTATTGTTATGGATGTGTTAGATTTTCCAAATATTGCCTCCAAATCTTAGGAGGAATACAGGTTCCTAGAGCCCAGAAGCCCTTTGCTAATCTGATTACAGCTAAACCAGAAAAGAAATTGTGGTCATGCTTCAGAGCAGTGTCCACAAAGGAAAGGTAGCCTTGGGTTGGAACTGATGTGAATAGGAGCATTATTTGTGGCCATGTGTGGCCTATTTTTGAACCTGAGCACTGCTTGACGGACAACCCAACTGTAGTGGAAAGGAAACCCACCTCTGCTTACCTGCCACTCAGTCCCTCAGTGGGGCTTGGTGTAGTCTGGGGGAGGAACAGCTGGGTTTTATACTACGCTGGTGCTGGAGACCACTCCCCTTGGACTTGCCTTCTGCACCATGCACATTTGCTGGACTAGCTTTCCTAGCCTGCAATGAATCCTCCTCTTCCAAATGGAAAATCGCTGAGGTGTGACTTAACTATACAATGATGATTAAGCAAAGATCCTTGAAGATCCTTAGGGCGACTGCCTCTCATCAATAAGAGTTTCTTTATTCTTACTGCTTTTCTAGAAGAAAAGAGACCTTAATTAGCCTCTCCCATTGTTTCTCTTCAAATGGCAGCTGGAGCTGCTTAATATGTGAGTGGAATCCCTTGGTTGTCAGACTATTGCAGGGCTCAGAACTTTGCAGGCAGGAAGAAGCTGAAGTGGATACACTATGGGCATGAGAGGCAGAGGGCTTGGGACCTGGCCATCTGAGATATATGAGCCCTAGGTCTAATGAGGCAGCATGGCGGGTATTTCCTGTAGTGAAGTTTGTCTGCATTGAATGAGCAGATATGCACAGAAGGACTGCGTGAACTGTTTTCACTGAAATACAAAATAGATTCTCTCCAGGAGATGAAGAAGTACATTTCAATTCATCCAAAACTGAGATCACTTCACAAGTCTTACATAACTTATAACAGTTTGTGAGAAGGAGGAAGGGTGCCAGCTGCCTCTTTGTTGATGGGGAAACTAGGCCCTGCAAAGGCTGGGACCTCAATCTGGCCAGTTTAGAAGGCCTTCTACCACCACCCTAAAACGCTTCCCAAAGTGGGATTCAGCTACAATACTTATAAGCCTGAATTCATTTGTTTGAATTTCAATCTTTATCATTACATTTATCAACCTGAGTTCTTTCATTGTATATTTTTCCTTCTCCATATTAAAAGGACAAGTTGGTTTCGTTGCTACCCCTTTTTTAAAAATTTTTTTAATTTTTTTTAGATAAAAACAAACATCTGAATGGCTAAATAATCATAAAATATTTCACAGGTGTTTACAATTTATTTTCCAATGAAGATCAAAATTTGACATTTTCTTATTACCATTAAACACTTTATAGATTTTTTTCTTGATCCCATTTCAGTTTTATACGGATTTGGATTCAATCCTTATCTAAGAACAAGGAGAACGAGAGCAATTGTGGGCACATTACAAGCACTCCGGAAAGATTTGTGAATGATAGAATGGAATTATATAACTATTAAGAGGCTGACATCGCCATTAAAAGTATCAATGGAATATTAAAGCCTCATTTTTATGAGAGTAATAAATTGTCCATTTCTTATGATTTATCACATATAAACCTCATGCATAGTTGTTAGAAATACAGACTTCTAACTCTTGCTCTACTACTAAATGTGCGTGACTTCTGTAATAAAACAAAATGCTGTGTTAAAAATAAATATGCAAATAGTGCTCTAGAAAACTTAATAGTTTCACTTCTCTTTCTCCTAGTCTTCATTAGCTATTATCTAAAGTAATAAATGTTACAGGCATGTCTGAATCACCATTAAATAATGAATGTGAACTAACAGCAGCATAGCAACTCTAATAGTTTTGTTACTGAAGGCATCCTCCCCCTCCCCCCATCCGGGAAAGTGGACATTAACTATTCTTCTTAGTGTTTACAGTCAAAGGGATGGCGGAAGGAAAGGAATGGAATACCTACCGCGGTGTTCTCCCGGAGAGGGGCTTTCGGGCAGCTCTGGAGAGGATGTAACTGGTAATAACCGAGAACATGTCCCACATTGACAGAAACCGCCACCAGTAAAGTTTTATTGTGAAATACAAAGGGACAACCCACATCTGCAACCGCTGTTGCAGTTGTCACCGGCTGTTGGAAAAATGGACAGAAAGTCTCTTTCAGTGACTGAGGGCCCGGGATGGCATGTCTGTTAGTAAACGGCTCCGAAGCCGCTCGGGGCGGCGGGGGGTGGGGGGGGTGGGGGGGGGCGGAATCGCGGGTCTGTAACACTCCGCGGGCCCCCCGCCCATCTGCAGACTGTTCTGAACACGCACAGTTACGCAGCGGATCAGCACAACTATCTGAAAATTCGAATGGGAAATAATCCAAACTATCCAGCTTCTGACACCTCCTTTCTTTTGGATATTTCAGATGAAAGCCACTTTAGGCATGAACAATTACGATTTTGGACAAGCGAGCCTCCTTTTGGCCGCGGAATTGGAGACACCGATGCCTGTCCTGCCTGCCTGTGCTGAGGTCGGGGTCCAAGGAGGTCACGGCCGCCGGGGGCTCAGGGGCTGCTGTCACCGCCATGGGCACGTGTGCAAATGCAGTGATCTCAGAGCGGGAAGTGGTGTCTGGGCAGCTTCTGGGACCACTTCTGTCTGTGGTCCCAGGGCACTCTGCAGGATTAACCCTTGAATCCCAGCTCTGGGGTTACGTCAGCCCTGCTTAGCAGATTTGCAACCCACCGTGTGCTTCTTGGCTCTCCTCTTCGGTTTCTGGGGCCTTTTCCAGGCAACCCCAAGGTGTGGGTCAGACCATGTCCTGTCCCCTGTGTATAACCCTCTGTGGCCTGTACCAATGACCTGGCTCCAAGCAGCCTCAGATGGCCCTGTAAGTTGGCTGGCCTCAGGCCCATGTGGCAGAAAGGAGGACTGCACTGATGGGCTGTGGGCCAGTGACTTGATATGGCTACCACAGTGTCTGACACTCCTTTAGATCAGGCCTAATACCAGCTTTCCGCCTCTCTTGTGAAAAGCAGGCAGGTTTAGACAATAGCAATAATCTTTGGTCTTTTATGCTTTATCACATCTAGGCTAACCACCTATTATTTGCTCAGCGTGAGAGGGGAATGGCAATGAGGTTTTGTCTCAGGTATAGACTTTGATTGATAGTTGCACCTGGCAATGGTCTGTTGAGGAGGATTTTAATGGCCCAGGCCCTGGTTTTGTGGGAAACAGTATAATAATTGATTGATTATGTCTGCCAGTGATACAGCGATATTTGTTGGGGTATGCTTGTCATCTGAGTATAAAAAAGACTGGTATCACGTATTTGTTTTCTTTACTCTCTTCGTATTTGTGATAAAAAGAGGTGGCTTTTTAAAAAAGTCTGTGGATGTATTTTTTGGGTTCTTTAATGAGATCTTGGTTATAATAGTTTAAAGGTCAATAACCAAAATTATTTGATAGGACTTCAAGATGTAAATGAAAAAGGCAAGGTCACAGTTATTCTTCCATCTATGTCAAATAAGAAGACATTTCCCAGGCTTCTCATTCTCTTTTTAGTGCTTCATCCCTATAACCTGGATCTGAAATCTTAGAATTGCTCTAAATCTTTCCAAGAACAGTACACAGTTGTTATTATACATATGCATTCAAACAAAACTATGCATGGAGCAAATCTGAGGTAACTATCTAAAGATATAATGTGCTATACGCTACAGTTTGTTTTCAAATTCCAGGCAGTACTTTCAGGATACATATTCTTTATTCTTGCCTGAATTAATCAGATAATTGCTTTAATTTTCCTCCCTACTTTGTGAGTATGGTCAAAGCTACTGAATGGGTTCGCAACTTTGTTTATGAAATAGAGATATATAGATCTAGGTACAAATAGATAGATATAGATATCCAAATAGGAAAAACAGGCTTTCCTTAAGGAAGTAGAGTAGTTTTCATGAGATCCAGAAAGCACATGAGAGCAGACCAAGACAAGATTTGGTCCCTTTAATATTTAGCACTGACAACTTTGGCTGTCTACTGTTGATGGCAAGAGTGTGCAGCTCCTTAAAAAAAATCTCATCAGTATTTTAGTCCTTCATTTCCTTTTTGCTTATAAGGGAGATAGTTACCTATGATATATTATAGGTTTTGAATTATTTTTAGTGCATTACTTCTGATATCAAAGAAGGAAATGGACATGAACTCCACCTTTCATTTGCATTTCTCATTTTTCTATTTTAAGAAACTGATTCATCTTTTTATTTCCCCCATAAATATGCTAAAGTTTTTTTAAATAAAAAAATTGAGTCAGTTCATTTTAATTCAATGCAACTACCGTGCTCCTATATTTTATACTTTAGGTTATAAATCAAACTTTACGAGACTAATCTACTTCTTCAAATCAGTGGAGTTACAATCTATGATAGTTTGAAGTGACGATTGGAGTATATATTTATAAAGTTAGTTTTTTTCCTGTGGATTTATAAGTACAACCCATTTCTAGAAGATCCCAAATTTCTCTTACTTGATACCTGGATTTAATGAACAGAGAATAACAATGTTCAAATGTATAGCTATGCTACTTTTTAAAAATAGGCCTTGGAGATCAGAAATAAAAAGAAAGCAAAAAAGTCATTTTAATGTATTCTGTATGCAAGTATTTAATTTCTTAACTACCTTTAAAGTGTAAGCCCAGCACACATTTTCTCAACATCCAAGGCAAAAGGTCAGAAATTTGCACTATGAATTCAATAATTGTATGGAAAAGTGCTTTTGAAATGAGGGCCACATTTCATAGCAATTTAAAAGATTCTTTATCAATTTCCAGAGCAGTTAAAACTTCTCATTTTTAAAAGTAACTGCTACATATGAAATGTAGGAATGTTGTGCCTCATAAATAAACACATGAAATATGTGAAATTGAGGGGCATGCATGCAACGGAGGAAGCCTGGCAACTGGGACACATTAATAATGCCAGAGGGGTCACCATCTGGGCATGTGCATATAAAACACATCTGCGTGACTGGCCAAGGGCAGCCCTGCATCTGGATCCCATCACCCACATTCTCCACCCACACGTCATGGCAGGAGGAATGTCCCGATGAATCAGATGCTGCCCGATGGTACCGTGCTTTTTATTTTACATGCACATAAAGAATCGGAAAAGAATTGCAGGTTAAGACAAAACAAAGATATCTTTTCATTTGTCTATTTGTACAGGATGATGAATGTGTCACACAATGAGGAAGGCAGGCGGGCAGGAAGGAAGGAAGGGAAGGAGGGAGGGAGGGAGGGAGGGAAGGGAGGAAGGGAAGTTACAAAAAAGGTGATGTTCGTTTCCTTTGCACAGCAAATCCCATACTACTGTGTTTGCAGCCATTTGTTCACGTGTCTGTGTGTGTTTGTGTGGGTGGGCTGGAGGGAGAGCAGGGGCATGCTAGAGGTGAGCAGAAAATCATCATGTACATAAATGACTCCAACAAATATTGTGCTATTGGTACAAAGGCATTGAAGGAAAGCGTGGACATAAACCAAATAAGTAAAATTATGGAATTGTGGCATATGGAGGAATCTTAGAAATTCATTTGGTCCAGATTTCTATCTTCAAATCAATTCAGACTGCTGACTTTACTATTTAACTTGTTAAAGGAGATTCTGCAATATTACATTAAGTATGTATGTATTTGTGCCTTGCCTCATTTTAAAAAGATTTAACAGGCCTAATACTTTATTGGTATAGTAGTGCTATGGTCTAGTGTTTCACAGCTATTAATAGACAGGAAGTTTGATTTAAATAGAGCAGTGTTTCAGTCTATGGCAAATGATCTGCCAGTGTATTGAGGCAAATTATCAGTGTGTCTGAAACCCAGCTTCTGTGTGTGTAGTCATCAGGCCTTCTAATGATTTGAAGGGAAGGAGGAGGGTTCTTTTTTGGCACCCTCCCCACTATTTCCTGCAGATATGAAAAGTAGGATATATAAAAGAAGGTGAAGAGAGTGGTGTTGAATGGAATTTTATTTTTAATTAAATGCTGTTAAAATCATTTAGAAATCATTTAACTTTGAGGCTCTGCTTATGTCTACACCATTTCAACTGGAGAGAAATTCAAATATCCAGATGCTCTATGTTATGCTATGCTAAAATATGAGTATTTGGAAACATCCAGGTCTTTACTTTAGTATCCCACACCAAACAAGAACTTTTCACTTTCTATCTACTTTCTCTGCACTTTTTGGTGTCTGTTAAGAGCAGTTAATATTATATTTTTAAACTTTATTTTCTAAATAACCTGGTTCTTTCACTTTATGTATTTACACTAAGCTGCTCTGATATACACAGACTCTACAGACCACAGAGCACCATCTGCCTAGAAAATTTAAATGATCACTCCAGAGGATAAATATATTTGTTAAAAGATGTATCTGAAAATGTTCTGAGCTATTTGGATTAGTCCCTCATCTCTGACGTACATGGTCCAAATTATGCATGAAATAATGTGAAAATAATACTTTATGTGTAATAAAAATACCTTCAGGGTATAAATAAATGTATAAATAATAATTGGTGGACAAAGCTGTTCACATATATTATTGTGTGCATTTCCTACTTCTTTTTAAACTTCCTCCTTTTGCTTATCTGTAAATTCCCACCCCCACCAACTGCCACGATTTACAGAATGTTTTCATCCCAGTATACATATATAGCAGTATCAGAATTGTTAACTTGTACCCTCGTGGGAAACAATTTTGTCAACAAGGGTACAGTGCTTGTGTTCAGTTTCCAGTGCCTTAATCTTACACAGATTCGTCTCCTTTCCAAAGGTACTTGGAGCAACACCTTAACCCCCAGTGCCCTTCAGTCAGGTTGTTTCCTGCATTTGTGATGCAGTTACATTCTCTCGTCAACATCTGCATTTCTCCCTGGGAAACCCAATCTCCTAAATGATTTTTTAAAAACTGCCTACCTTAAGGTCTATTTCTATGCACTGCGTAGTTCATTAGGATATGACAAATGCATAATGTCTGTATCCAAAATTACAGTATTATACAGATCAATTTTACTGCCCTGAAATAACTTTTTCATTTGTTTATCCTCTTTCCCTCCCTGAACCACTGGCAACCGTGTCCAAAAAAACAACAACAACAAAAAAACCCCTCAAAAACCCCACTATTTTACTCTCCCTATAGTTTTGCATTTTTCAGAATGTTGTATAATTGATTCATATGGTATGTGGCCTTTTTGTATTGGCATGTTTTACCAAAGTTCCTTTATGTCTTCTCACGGCTTGATAGCTCCTACCTTTTTATTGCCTACTAATATTCCATTGTATGGAGGTGGCGCAGTTTGCATATTTATTCATATTTTAAAGGACATCTTTTATTGCTTCCAGTTTGGGGTGCTATAAATACTTGGGTGCAGCCCTGACTGGTGTGGCTCAGTTGGTCAGGCATCATCCCGCGAAGTGAAAGGTCGCTGGTTAGGTTCCCATTCAGGGCACATGCCTGGGTTGTAGTTTGGTCTCTCATTGGGGTGCATATAAGAGGCAACCGATTGATGTTTCTCTCCCTCTCTTTCTCCTTCCCTTCCCCTCTCTTTAAAAATAAATAAAACCTTTAAAAAACTATTTGGATGCAGGTTTTTGTATAGATGTAGGCTTTCAATTCAATTGGGTAAACACTTAGTAGCATGATCGCTGGGTCGTGTGATAAGACTATGTTTAGCTTTGTGGGAGACTGGTAAAGTGCCTCCAAAGTGGCTCTACCATTTTGCGTTCGCACCAAGAGTTCCTGCTGCTCTGTTCCTCATCGGCATTGGGAATTGTTGGTGTTCTTGATGTTAGCCATTCTAACAGGTATGCATGGTATCTCATTGCTTTACTTTGCCACTTCCTAATGACATATGATGATCATATTTTTTTCATATAAGCTCTCTTTTCAGATTTTTTTGCCATTTAACTGAGCTATTTTCTTATGATTGAGTTTTAAGTATATTTTATATAACAATTCTTTGTTAGATATATATTTCACAATTACTTTCTCCCAGTCTGTAGCTTGTATTTTCATTATTTTAACAGTATCTCACAATACAGGTTTAAATTTCAATAAAATCCAGCTTATCAGTATTTATGCTTTCTTTCGTGGATCATGCTTTTGGTGTTGTATCTGAAAACTCATCATCAAACTCAAGTTCGCCTAGATATTTTTCCTATGTTATCTTCTAGGAGTTTTGGAGTTTTGCATTTTATATGTGCATTTACAGGTGCATGATTAATTTTAAGTTAATTTTTGTGAAATATGTAGATTTTATGTCTAGGTTCTTTTTTTTTTGCATATGGATGTTTTAGCACCATGTATTGAAAATACTATCCTTTCTCCATTGAATTGCCTTTGCTCCTTCATCATGAGTCAGTTGGCTATATTTGTGTGCGTCTATTTATGGGCTTTCTATTCTCTTCCATTGATCTATGTATCTATTCTTTCATCAATATCACATTGTATTGATTACTATAGCTTTACAGTAGTATTTAAGTTGTATAGTGTGAGGTTCTCCAACATTGTTCTTCTTCAGTGTTTGATTTCTATTCTGGGTGTTTTTCCATATTAACTGTAGAATGAGTTTGTCAATATCCACAAAATTGCTTGTTGGGATTTTGATTGGGATTGTATTGAACCTATAGGTCAAGTTGGGAAAAACTGACATCTTGACTATATTGAATCTTCCAAGCCATGAACACAGATTATCTTACTATTTATTTGAGATCTTACCAGGTTTTTTTTTTCATGTAACTCTTGTACGTATTTTGTTAGATTTATACTTTAGTACTTCCTTTTTGGAGGTACTATGGTAAACAGTATTGCATTTTAATTTCAAATTTCAATTGTTCATTGCTAGTATATAAGAAAGCAATTGACTTTTGTATATTGATCTTTTGTCTACAACCTTGCTATAATTACTTCTTAGCTCCAGGATTTTTTGTTGTTGTTGTTGAATTTTCAATATAGACAATCATGTCATCCATGAACAAAGATGGTTTTATTTCTTCCTTCCCAATCTGTATGTCTTTTTATCCTCCTCTTCTCCATTTTTTGGGTCTTATTGTACTAGCGAGGACTTTCAGTACAATGTTGAATTAGAGTGGTGCAAAGGAATATTCTTATCTTCTCCCTTATCTTAGGAGGAAAGTATCCAGTAAATGTTAGCTATAGGATTTTTAAAAAATAAATATTCCTTATCAAGTTGAAGAAGTTTCCCTCTGTGTCTAGTCTGCTAGAAGTTTTTATATGAATGGGTGTTGGACCTTGTCAAATGCCTTTTCTATATCTATTAATATGACCATGTGGTTCTTTTTTTAACCTCTTGATGTGATTGATTACATAATCTGATTTTTATCTGTTGGACCAATCTTATGTACCTAGAATAAAACCTACTTGGTGTATAATTCTTTTTATATGTTGTTTAATTCAATTTGCTAATTTCATTGAGCATTTCACATTTATGTTCATGAAAGATACTGGGCTATAGTCTCTCTTTCTCATGTCTTCATCTGGCCTTGGTACTAGTGGTATTATTGTAATGCTGGCCTCAAAGAATGACTTCTTACTTGTTCCCACTGCTTCTATTTTCTGAAAGAGATTGTGGAGAATTGGTATCATTTCTTCCTTAAATGTAGATTTCACAGTGAAACCGTATGGGCTTGGTGCTCTTTTTTGGAAGGTTATCGATGATTGATTCAATTTTTAAAAATAGATCTAGGCCTATTCAAATTATCTATTTCTCCTGTGTGAATTTTGGTATAGTTTGTGGCTTACAACGAATTTGCCTATTTTATCTAAGTTATCCAAATTTGTGGGCATAAAATTGTTTACAATATTCCTTTATTTTCTTTTTATGGCCATGAGGTCAGTAATGAAGCCTACTTTTTCTAATATTAATTATTTGTGTTCTCAATCTTATTTTTCTTTGTTTTTCTTGGTTAGCTGGCTAGAGGTTTAGTAAATGTATTGATCTTTTCAAAGAACCAACTTTTGGTTTCCTTGAGTTTCTTATTGATTTTGTTTTTAATTTTACTGATTTCTGCCCTAATTTTTATTAGTATTTTTTTGATGTGTAGCTTAACTTCTTCATCTTTTTAAAAATATTTTATTTATTTCTTTTTAGAGAGAGAGGACGGGAGGGAGAAAGAGAGGAAGAGAAACATCAGCATGTGGTTGCCTCTCCCACGCCCCTCACTGGGGACCTGGACCACAACCCAGGCATGTGCCCTGACTGGGAATTGAGCCAGCGACCTTTTGGTTTGCAGGTGGGCACTCAATGCACTGAGCCACACCAGCCAGGGCTTAACTTCTTCTTCTTCCTCCAGTTTCCTAAGGTAGGTGTTTAGTTTACTGATTTTAGATCTTTTTTCTTTTCTAATGTGTGCATTCCATGCTAAAAATTCCCCCCCAACACTGCTTTTGCTGCATTTCACAAATTTTGATGTTTTATTTTCATTTTAATTTTGTTCAAATTATTTTTTAGTTTCTCTTGAGTCTTCTTTGCCTCACGTGTTATTTAGTATTGTTACTTAATGTCCAAATATTTGGGTATTGTTTTCTGCTTTCAGTTATTGATTTCTAGTTTAATTTTTGTGGTCTGAGAGTATACACCTGACTCTGGAACAGCACAGGGGTTGGGCACCATCCCCCACCGCCCAGCCAAAAATTTGCACGTAACTTAAATTGGCCCTCTGAAATAAGCACATCCCCAGCCTCAGACTGAAGACATTGTTTTGAATCCACAGTTGTTTGAACCCACAGATGTGAAACTTGGGGATATGGAGGACTGACTGTATATTTATTGAAAAAAATGTGCATGTAAGTGGACTTGTGCAGTACGAACCTGTTTGTTCAAGGGTCAACTGCACTTTGTATGATTTTTTACTCTTTCAAATTTGTTTTGGTGTGTTTTATGGCCTATAATGTGAATGTTTCATGTGAGCTTGAGAAGCACGTGTACTCTGCTGTTGTTGGATGAATTATTCTATAAAAGACAATGGAAGTCAGTTGATCAATAGTGCTGTTCAGACCACCTATATCCTTACAATTTCCTGCCTGCTGGATCTATCAACTACTGAAAGAGGGTGTTGAAATCTCCAAATACAATGGTGGATTTGTACATTTCTCCTTGCAGTTTCATCAGTTTTTGCCTCATATAGTTTGATGTTCCGTTGTTAGGAACATATATGTTAAGAACTGCTGTGTCTTTTTGAATAACTGACCCCTTTATCATTATGTAATGCTCCTCCTTTTCCCTGATAATTATCCTTGCTCTGAAGTCTGCTTTGCCTGAAATTAATATAGCTTAATCCAGCTTTCTTTTGATTAGTGTTACTATGATGTATCTTCCTCCAAACCTTCACTTTTAACATAGCGGTATTTTTACCACTTCTTCAGAAATTCTATGTTAGGTATTTCTATTTCGCAGAAATACCTAATAACCATTGTTACTAGGAAACTATGGTTAAAATATATTTAAGGAGCTTCTTTAAAAAATATGAGAGTATAACTAATGAGGTTTCATTCCAGTCTCCTTCATTTGAAAAAAAGTTGCAATATAGAGGATGTTTATTTTAATTAACAAGACAATAGTGACATGGCAGCAAGTTGATGCATTTGCTTAAAAAAGAACAAACCAAGATTCCTTCTTCTAAGTAAAATGTACAAAATTGCCTAAATTTAATTATTATACAGAACTCAAAAGAATTCCCTTAGACCCTGTGCCCACAGAAAATAATTTTTATGATGGGTAGAAGAAAAATAAAATACTGATCTAAGTCAGCACTTCATATGTCATGGCAAGCCTTTTTATAAATGACCAGCCCAAGACCCAGACCCACGCAGAGTGGTGAGTGAGGACCTTCTTCCTGTGCAGTGCTTCTCCACATAGGCCACACTCAAGTCTAAACCATTAATCACCAAAATGTGGCCCAGGACCCTCTGGGAACTTGGTAGGCATGCAAATTATTGGGCACCTATTGAATCAGAAACCCTGGGGATGGGCCCTGAGAATCTGATTTAACAAGCCCTCCAGGGGATGCGCCCTGAGATGCGAGAACCACTGCTCTGAGCGTTGCGAATGCAAGGGCTCAAGCCCAACAATGCCCATCCAATGCCCCTGAGGCCGTGAGATGGCAAAATTCTAGTGGATGTGCTTGGGTGGGATTGGTCTGTGAAAATGGGTGGTGCGGAAAGTGGCTGAGTTCAGTGCAGTGTTTGCATTAACAGCCTCTGTGGATATGCACGCCGTCAGTGCCAACCCAGTGAATGGCTAATGGAACAAAGTTAGACGGCCTCAACTGTTTGTTTCCGGCATTCCTATTCTCCTTTTCTGAGCCATTGGCAGAAGTTGTTGACGCACGAAAGGAAATTGGTTTCCTTAAACCAGGGCTTCTCAGTCTTGGCCCCACGGACGTCACGAGGAGCTGTCCTGTGCACAGTGAGCAGCCTCTACCCACTAGATGCCGGTAGCAACTCCCATCCCCCCTCTCTTCCCACTGAGGCGGGAGGATAAAAAAAAAGTCTCCGGATGTGGCCATATGTCTCCTGGGGCCAAAATTGCACCCAGTGGAGAATCACTAACTTCAACAAACCGTTTTCTTCAAAGTGGTAAAAAAAAAAAAAAAAAAAAGGAGGGGTGTGGCAGCAAGAGGAGCAGGTTTGTCGCACCAGGGCGACTTACGTTGTAGGACCGGCCGTGCCTCTGTCCCCACCGCACCAGCACAATCTGAGCAGTGACCGAGGCGGAGAGGAAGATCCAGATCAGCGCCACGTGCATGGACTCGGGGCCCTGGTGCATCCTGTACACCCTCTCCGGCTGCAGGCTGGAACCGGCTAACGAGGTCACCTGCAAAAGGCCTCAGCCTTTGCACATGCAGCAAAAAAAAGAAAAAATAAAATAAAATAAATAAATATAGGCTGAGCTCATAGGAAACAATTGGGAATTTCAAATGTGAGGGTTTTTAACCTTTGTTTGCGAAGTATTCCTTGGTTCTTCCCTTTCCCCCAGCTTGGGGAGAAGGCAGTAGAGAGGAGGAGACTGAGTTTATCAGCAAAACCAATTCCTCTCAGCCCTTAGCTTTTCCATGTGGCTTTGACCTCAGCCTGGTCCTTTCAAGTTAAGTTATAGGGGGAAAAAAAAAATCACTGATGGGTCCTGAACAAACCTGGGTTCCAGTCCTTGGTTGGCCGGTTTATTGCCATGTGGCCCTTTGAAAGTCACTTATAGTCTCTGAGCCTGTTTCCTCATCTGCAAATTTAAAATAATGATCGCTCTGTACATCTCCGAAGCACGTACGCTATTTTATTCATCCCTAATAGTAATAATAATAATTAGAGGAATAATAGATTGAATCATATGAAATCATTTTTTAAAGTCAAACATTTAAAAATATTGGTAACTTCAAGTAATTTCTAATAGTCTCACGTAAAAGGGTATCCTGCTGATGGTGCCTGGAGAGACTGTTATCCATGGAGCTCCTCAGTGAGTTGTATAAATTGTTTTCATTATAAGGAGAAAGAAGAGGCCTAAGTATTATCTTAGATGGGCGTACATATTCAGATGATGGCTGAATGTTCTCGTTTTTCGGTGGACTCTTCGTTTTGCACTATGGTAGAGAAAACCGCTAAGTTGGTGTCATGTTGCTTAACTTCTTGTAGCAGAAGTGGCTTTGAAGAAAGTCACTTGACCTTGGCTGTAAGTAAAATCAGCAGGGGGCTTTTAAAATCACGGTGCCCAAGCTGTACCCTAGATCAATGAAATGAATTAAATGATCAGTTCAGTGCCCATATCAATTAAAAACACCATTGCTGAGCATTATGGGCTGAATTGTGTTCTCTCACCCCCAACCCCAAATTCATATGTTGAAGTCCTATTCCTCAGTGCCTCAGAATGAGACTGTATTTGGAGATACTTTAAAGAGGTAAATAAGGTAAAATGAGGTCATGTGAGTGGGCCCTGATCCAATCTGACTGGTGTCCTTATCAGAGGAGGAGATGAGGACAAGAGCGCACAGAGGGAAGACCATTGAAGGACCTAGTGAGGGGGCAGCCATCTACAAGCCAAGGGAGAGGCCTCAGAAGAAACTGAAAACCACTGACACCTTGACCTTGGACTTCTAGCCTCTAGAACTATGAGAAAATGAATCCCTGTTGTTTAAGCCTCTCAGGCTGTGGCATTTTGTTATGGTAACCCTGGAAAATGGATACAGCTTTCCAGGGGGGGAGCTAGGTGTCAGTCATTTTTTAAGTTCCCCATGTGATGTTGAGAACCACTCAATATCAGGATTGAGAACCACTAGCCTAGAGGAAGAAAGAGCAGTCCAGGGTCAAGATTAGGGAAGAAATGGGAAAAAATGAACATTGCCAATCAATAACTTTATAAATGTTGGTTAGCATTATCTTTCATCCCCAGCGAGGCACCATCAGTCACAAGATCTCTTCAAGTTTCCACTTACGGCTGGTTACGGTTGCATTGAGCTAGAGTACCAGTCAGAAAACACTGCAGGATAATATTCTGTGCCACAAAATAGTGACCTTTTAAAAGCACTTGTTGGATATGTGGGTTGGGTTTTCTCCCTTTGCTAGCATTTCTACAGAGCTACTAACTAAAAAGAGCAGTGTCTCAGAAAAGGACCCCATCCAAATCCCAGGGGTGCCCCCTGCTGGAGAATGCAGAGAAATGAACCCTCAAAGCCTAGTAAATATTCCTGCTTAACTGTTCAGCTTCTTTGGAATAGAATCTTAGAATGTTAGTGCAGGAAGGTATGAAAGATGTACTGAAACCCTTTATGGATGCTGAACTCGATTACAGTTAAGCATCCTGAGGAAAGTTGCATGATTATTAGTCTATGTGTTAGAAGCTCAGCTTAGGAGACAAGAAAAATTTCTAGAAGCTCATTAAAATATACTCATTTCTCCGAAGAGATGATAGGTGAAGAAAAATAAAAGGGTACAAGAATTTAGTTATTAGTTTTTACAGCCTCAAATTCAAAATAACTATTTAATATTCTTTGTAATGAATATAGTTTCAATTTAGGCCATATAAATAGAAGAGTAAGTCTCTCATAAGCTAAAATAGCACTTGCATAGATATAAAACACAATATGCTTTATGACATTAATCTATTTTGTGTATATATAATGAAAATGCATCTCAAATAGTTAAGCTATGTGGAAGTACTATGGAAAGTATAAAGTGATATAAAATGTAGTAAGTATTTCCTATTTTGATTAGGAATACATTCATGATTATTTACCACAAAGCAAAAAAGGAGGGACATTTCATTTTTATTTCATTTCATATGTTGCCCATGATAGGTACCAGAACACAGAGGAAACAGCATGTAAAGAAAGCCAGACATATTTTGTGCCTAAAATAAATACTAAGCTGACATTGCCTTACTTTGAAGAACATAGAAACCCACGTTTAGGACCGCACAGAGCGCACTGTGGCTTTGGTCTACACTGCCTTTGTGCATGCCTGGCTGTGCTAACTCACCTTCTCTATCCTGGGAAATTGACAAATAAAACGAAGGCTTCATTTAATTTCTCAAATGGTTAAGATGGAAATCTAATGTGTAGTATAACGGTGATAAAAAAAAATATACTAATCACTTACTTCCACTTATCATCCACAGAAAAATTTGTGTGAGAGATCTGAAAAACGTAAAAAGAGCCGGAATAATTTAGAGTGAAAGCCCTAATAAAATGTTTGCTTATGGAATTAAAACACACACACGCACACACTTGTGCACAAACCCCCAGACGAAGCAGTAATCAGGTCACTCGCTGTTAATAAATATTTGAGAACCAGATGAGGCGCCATTTAGTTGAGGGTGTAGGAAGTGGACCACCAATAGGCAGTGTCACCCTGGAATCTGGGATACGATGTATAAATCCAAGAAGCCCCAAGCCACATGTTTTGCTGGTGTCTCCAGTGATGCCAATGAGTAAATATCATCTCTGAGTTCAAGGTTATCGAGACAGATCTGACCAGAGGCTGCACTTGTCTGGAGCATTTTTGTGTCCTCTCACTAATTTAATTTAAAGCTTGGCCCCAGGGAAGCAAGTACCTGGCCATGCCCTTGCGGACTGGGCTGGGGAGCAGAGGCCATGCCCAGGAAGGGCTTGTGGATGACCACTTGTCTTGCGCCCGTGTGCTGCCTGCCCTGGATCACTGCCAATGCACTGTGTTTGGCCATGTGAAGGCTAAAAGCCCATCATTGTGCAGTCACCCAGGAGTCTGGTTAAAATGCAAATTTTAATTAGGTAGGTCTGGGGTGGGAACTCTGCATTTCTAATTGGCTCCCAGGTGAGACATTAACTGTTGGTCCCTGGATCACGCAGCTTTGCTACAGGGCACTAAGGGAAAAGCTGCAAGTCCCTCCTAGGGCTGAGCTCTCAGAGGGGCCATGCCTCCTGAGGGCAGAGGTTAAGGCATTGATATCGGCATCCTCCAGGGAGGGCAAATGTCAGCTGCAAAAATGACTGTACCAGTCTCCGGTCCCTCCTGGTGGGCACTCTTCCATCTATAATCTCCTTTGGATGGTCTGGGTTTGGGACCAGCAAGAAAGCCATGGAGTTTCCTTATAGCTTCCCCATTGTAGAGACTAAGTCCCAAATGCATAGTGTGGTCCACAAGGCCCACTGCAACCTAGCTTTCCCCGATCTTTCACTACAAACCTTCATGAGCCCAGGATTTCTGCCAGAGTCTGAGGGACTGTCACCGGCCCCTGCCTTTCCCCACAATCACTCCCCAACACTTTTTCTTTTTTCTTTTACTTCCAAGCAATTTGGTCTGCTGTCCCCTCCATCTAGAATTCCCATTCGCCCTCACCACCAGGTGGCTTGATTTCATCCAACCTCCAAGGCTCAGCTCAAATGCCACGCCCTCATCCGCTTTGCCCATCCCCCTGCCAGGACCCATCTCTCTCTTCTTTGAACCTGTTTTAGGAACAGTAATCTCTTCCTACCCTCTGAGTTATTTTTGTCCTTGTTTTACTTTCTTTCAGGCTGGGAGCTCCCGCCTCTAGTTGCACCCCCTCCAAGCCCCTGTGCAGCGCAGCTCCTGGCGCCTGGTCAGGGCCGAAGCATTGGGCTTGAATCACCACCAGCGCCCGGTGGTCCTCAGAGCTCAGGCATCAGCAGCGCCTCCCAGGAACTAGGCTTGCAAAGGACCAGGCCCTATCCTCAAGGTGAGATACCAGAACGCAGAGGCAGCCGCCTGCATTTGGGCCAGCCCTCCCGGTGATTCTGAAGCACGCTCCGGTTTGAGAGCCACAGGGTCAAGCCTGATGTACGCCCATCATCCCTCAAACTGTCCTCCAATGCATTTGGCTTTCACCCGGGCCCTGGGGGCTTCTGCCCTGGGAGAGAAGAGGAGAGAGGCGCACAGGCATGGGGTGCAGGGAATAGGTAGGGATGAGCGGGTGGTGAGAGTTGGAGGGAAGGAAGAAGAAAGGTGGGGAAGGGAAGGAAAAAGAAGAAGAGGGGAGGAAGACGGAGAAATGGAGTGGGGTGGGGTCTGGCGAAGCCACCAGCATCTTCCAGTGGGTCTCTTCCCCTGCATGCGACCGACCACACGGCATGGGGGTCGGGGCTTGAACAGTGTGGTCGCTTAGCCCCAGTGTGAGCCTGAGGTCCCTGAATAGGTGTCCTCTCGGCCTGTGCCCCGCATCAGATACCTGCTCGTGCTGGAGGGGCGCCTCCAGCCCCGCCTCCGCCTTGTGCACCGCCCCCGCCCCTGCAGCCATGCCTCGGCCTGCAGCGCCGGCCCGGGGGTCTCCGCGAGTCCACGGTGGGACGTAGGAGCCACGGTGAGAGCTGAGCCTGCGGCACCCGAGCCGGCGTCCCCGCCTCAGGCTGTGCGGTACCAGGCCGGGAGTCTCCCGGCGCGCCAGCCCCTTCGCCCTCCGCCTGCGCTCTGGCCTCCTCCAGAGGAAGGGGGCTGAAGGTCATCACCTCCAGCATGACCGATGAGACCCTTTGGGTCAAGGGCCTCTCTGTAGTGAAGCAGTTGTCAGCCACCATCTCATGAAACGTCCGGGGCGCTGGGCAGGACCCAGCGGTGTTGTGACCAGGTGACAAGCCTGGCGGACTGAAGGACGGTTCAGAGGCCGGTAGGTGGAGATGTGGGGAGTTCAGAGAGAGAGAAGGAGATGAGAGAGGGAGCGAGGAAGGGAGAGATCACTTTCTTCTCAGCTCTCTCCCCAAGAAGCACTTTTCAGAAGGCGAGTTCAGAGGGCTCTCCAAATGCGGGGAGACTGCACCTTTGTGTGTCCACAGCTGTGTTCTGCAACCTGGGCCCACTGCCCCTCTTCCCTTAGTTGTCTGCATGTTCGATCCTATGGAACAGCTCCCTAGAGGCAAACTGGGCCTTGCAAAGATAACAAAGGAGAGGACCTCAGCTATGGCGGGAGGACATAGAGCCTCTTGGCCCCTGGCAGCTGTGTCGCATGCACTTTACCCTGGGAAACCACCAGCTTGCCCTTGGCCTCCGGCCAGAGCCTGGACTCATGGCTGGGAACAAGCCGGAACACTTGGGTAAGCCTTTAGGAATATGTGGGCCTTAATTTAGGGCAATAGACAAAGAGGGAATGCACAATTAGGTAGTCTGACTTAGCAAAATACGGCCAACTTCATTTCAGTTTGTGATGACTCATTTTACAAGGAGCTACCAGTAGAGATTGACCACTAGATGGACACTTACCTGCCATTTGGAACTTCCTGTCTAGCAGGGCATAGTGAGAAATATCAGTACAGTTTATGGCGCTGGGTGCTTCCTACTCCAAGCACCTTACCTGTGATAACTCATTCAGTCCTCATAACAATCCCCTGAGGCAGATGGTGTTATTGTCTCCATTTTACACAGGGTAAGGCTGAGCACAGAGAGTGCGGAAGTTTGTCCGTGTTTCTAAGCTAGTAGGTGGTGCAGTGGCCATTTGAACCCAGACAAGGCTGATTCCATCGCCTGGGCTCTTAACCACTCAGGAAAGGGGCTGCAAAGCCCAGCAGCAGCCAGTTCAAGGAGGTCTATGCAAATAATTTTAATCAGTCTGGACTGTGGCCTGAAGAAAATAGGAAGCCATTATAGAATGGTAAGCAAGAAATGGCATTACTAGACTTGCCTTTTGACTTCAAGGGTGGGGACGGATGCTCAACTGCGACCCAGGACAGGGAGACCAGTTGGAAAGCTATCGCTGTAGTTCCAGTGAAAGATGGCAGCGACCTTGGTGGATAGCGCCTGTCAGTGTGTGCAGGGATGGGGCCAGGGGAAACGGAGAGGTGTGGATGGAGCCAAGTGATGTAGGTGATAGAATCTACAAGACTTAACGGACCTTCAGGGGTGGTGCCCGGGCACGTGGCTTGAGCAGCCTGGCATTTGGGCACGTGGTGCTGCCATCCCTGAAAATAGGAGTATTGAAGAGCAGCTGATTGGGGGAAACAAAGATACTGAGTTCACTGGGATAGGCTGCCTCCCTCCTGGCTTCTGGTCTGTCTTCGTGGGGCGCTCTTGCCCAGGGTGTCCTGGGATTCTTCTATATTCTGTTACAAGAATGCCTTGTATATGTTAAATGATTTATTGCAAAGTGGCTCCCTGTAGGCTTCCTGTGCGCTCCCCAGTTGTCACTTATTAATTTTTCCCCTTTCTTCACTGCCCAGCTGAGGGCAACTGAACTGCCTTGGGCCGATGGTGCCACCTAATGGCTAGATCTTGCAGGGGTCCTGTTTCTTGCTTTACAAATGATCTTTTTCAAGAACTTTTCTTTTTCAATTTACTCGCTTCCTCTTTTTTCATGTCTTTTTAATATTTACAGATAAAATGTGTATTTGCTCCTTAGCATTACAGTTAAAGCGGGTGATTAAGAATGTCTTCAACCAGATGCAGGGCTGGTCATGCGGAGTAGGGTGGGTGGTGAAGGGAGAGAGTCTGGACAACTGGTGGGGACTTCTGTCTGCCAAAGGGGTGGCAGTCGCAGATTCAGTCTAAATGAGGGTGAGGGGGGCTGTCAAATTCAAACCATCCAGGCCATGTGCACATCCAAGAGCTTGTCTGATCTTGGAGATCAGCATGAGAGAGGGACCAGAAGCTCTGTACACCGGTGACTCTGGCGGTCAGGGACAGACTGATGACTGGGCAATCATTCCTAACAGGAGAGCGACACCGAAGCCCTGTCCTCCTCTCTTGGCTGATGAAATGGCTGCATAGGCATAATTAGGCTAACTCCCCTTGAGACATCCTCCAACCTCCCTGCCCCCGTCCCCGCCCCCGCCTAGTCCTTTCTGGTAGTGAGGCTGGCATTTCAGGTGCAGGCACTAGCCCCCTTAGGTGGACAGAATTTGTGCAAGCTGGTCTGATTTCTAGCTGCCAGTGTTCTTGACTAGTTTTCCCTGGCCGCTCAGCTCCCCTGGGTGCATTGTCCTTTAATTAATCTGCCTTTCCTTAAGTACTAGCTCTCAAGACAAATGAAAGCTGCTCAACTTTATTATTTATCTTGTTCTTTAATTATTAGCATTGTGTTATGGACTTCTATTCTTTTTTTTTTTTTTTTTTTGGCTAAAATGTGCAGTGTTTAGCTCTCTTATGGTTCCTTGGAGTTTTGTGAGCTGGCGTGTGGCCCTAATGGCCATTTATAACATCGCCTCATAGGGAAAGTGAATTCTGCCTTTCAAACCACAGCCTTCCATATGCACTTTTGGAACACAATCCATTTGTGAGTTGGGAACTCTCTGTTAATGTCTCTTGGCCCAGGGCAGCCCCACGACCAAATGAGATGTGGTTTAAGGTTCCTGTAACAACCGGTTCATTTAAATATGTTAGCTGGAGCTCAGCTTTCAGGTTCTCAGGTTTCTGGTGCATTTGGAGTGGAGGAGGCCAGAGTCGCGGCGGTCAGACGGCAGCAGCAGCGCGGATGGGCGCCCTGCTCCCCACGGGGAGATGGCACAGTCCCGCTTTTCGTGGGTCACCCTGCAGGGTTTAGGACTCAGCCTTACCTGAGGGCAAGCTTTCCAGTTCTGTTGGACAATGGATCTCTAAAAAGAAGAACAGCTTTTAAAAATCAACTATACTTTCAAGCCTGG